TAAGTAACTGCTTATTTGTACTTCATAAATGTACGTTGTGCTCAAATTCTCACAACCCAAAACCAGTGGAAATCATTAAATGTAAAACAAAAAAGATAAACACAATATTAAACAGATAAAATAGACAAAAACTCACTTTAATTTTTCTGCACTTGTTCAAAGGAATGTAACAGCGTAAGAGAAAAATAATGAGGAAGATGTTATTCTTTTAATGCGAAATTCTATAAAAACATCAGGTAACTGTCTTTAGGAGGCATGTCCTTCTTCCCCCCCCCTTATCTCTAAGCACCACCAAACTCTGCTTGAGAATCACTGAAAATGCTTCTAAAGTGAGATATGGCATTGTCATTGAATAAATCTGTCATTGTCAAATCTAAAGTAATAAAATTCATTATTATCTTTAAATTTTGAAATAATCATTGAGTAATCATATTGCAGATTGCCCTAAGCAAGATCGTTTGTTAATTTCATTTTACTCTCACCTTCTCTAATAATTTTGTGCATCTCCAAATCAGATGATGGTGGTTCAGTGAGTTCACTAATTTTAACACTTTTTCATTTTTGACAATATTTTAATTACTATATACAGAGCGTATTCTTAGGCCGCCGCCTTCCACATGAGCAAACTTTATTCTCTTACAACTAAGCAAGCAACAGCGCCCTCTAGCCTTTTTCTTCAAATTACACAACACCTTCATAATTAATGTTTAATATCTTTAGGGAACTTACTGCAAATATTAATATAAAAATAGTTCAGTGATCTCTTTTATTAATTGATGTATTTTAATATTGCAGATTCTTGTTAATTTTGCTTCTTGAAAGCTTGGATTTTATTACTTCTGAAACATTAAGTATGGAGAGAAGTCCTACTCTTTTTCAAGTTGGTGCAGAAGCAGCAAAACGTATATCAACATGGAGCGACCCAAAGCATGTGATCATAAGTCATATTCCGACTTACCTTCAAGCTATGCATGATGCCTTACTTGGTTTACTTGAAGATGATTCTTTATCTTGCACTGATGAAATTTTTTGGGAGGTAAGCTCAGATTTTGTATGTGACAGAATTTGATTTTAATAATTCTCCAGGTTCTCTAGAAGTTAAGAAGTTATTATTTTATTTAGCATATCACCATTGAACATACTGCCCATTTCTGCTAAACATATTCTAGATTTGTAAATCTTAAGGAAATACTGCACCAAAATGCTTTAAATTGGCAATTTCTTAAATCATGCCAAGAAGTTCTGTTTTAGCTGGCTTCCATTAATTCTTCATAAAAAGTGCATTTAATTATATGGGTGTTATTATGACAGATTGTAGAATATCTTTGAACACTTACAGCCTGAGTGTTAAGGAGGCCAGGAATGTAACTTGGGTTTACCTCCACAGAAAACTTGTTTGAAATTCTGATGGGAACTGCTGGCAGCAATTTAAATTTTCCTTGCAAGGGCTAATTTGTATATCCAACCAAAAAAACTGCAAGTTTGGAGTAAATTGTGAATATTTAAAAGGTTTTAATTTAATAAATTTAATAAAAGAAAAACAGTTTTCAAAAGAGTATATTCTTGGATCTTAAAGATATATTCTTTAAAAAGTTATCCATGTATTCTGTAAATATAAAGCATGATTGTGATTAATTTGAAACTCAGCTATTGATATTAAACAAATAGATGCAAATATAAGATGATTTAAAACTTGCAATATCATTTAAATATCAAGTTAAAAAAAAAAAAACTTTAATCTTTGCATTTAAAGTATATATATTTTTACCAAGAACTAGGTGTACGTAGTTTTTTTTAGCATTTTATTTTACCGTGAAAGTACATATTTTTAGAAATCTAAAATACAGTGTACTCTGGATTATCTGGTGTAATGCTGGGGAATAAAATCACAGATAACTGAAAAACATGGATTATCTAAACCAGCAGTTCTCAACCTTTTGACTAATGCATACCATCTAAACCAAAATTGAAAACCTTTAGTACCACCACTACAAAGTACCACCACCACTCTTGAACAAAGCTCAGATCGCATAAAATTACGAGTGTTAGATAAAAAACTCAATCAGGATGTCAGGGTTTTAATTTTTGAATTTAATAGTTAAAAATACTTTGCTTCTTTGTGTACAACCTATTTTTCTCTTGCATACCACCGGTTAAGAACCCCTGATCTAAACTATGAATTTTCATACATGATGCATGTGTTTGTTTCTTTACAGAATTAGTAATTTTACTTTGTGCTTGAGAATATTTAAATATTTTCAAATATTTTTGCATATTTCACATCAGATTTTTTGAAGTGCTCTTTTATTATCATATTCAAATCATCTTTGATTGATATGTTCATTAGAGTTTCCACAAAAGTTATTGCTGTCTTGGGACTAGTGTAATTGTCAGTGTCCTCTCCACTTGTATTTTCAATATCACTCTCTGCCTCTTCTGTGCTTGTGACATTTGAAACGGAGTGATATTGAAAATACAATTGAAAATACAAGCATTGAAAGCCCAACTCAGTCAAACTGTCATTGAATGATTCCTCAGTGTTTTCCGAATTGACATATTTGTAGAATTTTACATTTTCAATTTTTGGCATACAATTTCAATTATTGCCTTGATTTTTTTTCACAATTAAATAAATTAATTTAGAAGTCAAACAACAAAAATCAGCATTATATTTTCAAATTTTCGCAGGACTAGTTTCGATGGTTTTACCGAACCATCATCCTTAGCTGCAAAAGTGCAAATGAACAAGATAAGATATAATATTTAAGATATTATTTAAAAGCCATAGCTATTGACAGGGGCTTTTCACCCAACGTTATTTAATCAAACAGTTAAAAAATTCTCATCTCAGCACACCAAAAAGCACACTCTTGTTTTACGAGATTATAAAAATTCTGTTGTCATTCCCTTCTTTCCATCAATTAGCTATAAAGTTGCACATATTTTGCGGAAATTTAACTTTTGGGTCATTTATTCTCCCATCAATGAAATTCCGAGTTCCATACTCAAGGACCCCATTCCGGATATGAATTCCTGGGGTGTTTACAGGATTTATTGCCAGTGTGGCTTAATTTACATTGGCCAAACTAAGAGAGCCTTAAAATTTCACGTTAAGAAACATGAGGCATATGTTAGAAAAAAAAAAGAAACACAGAAGTATTCTGTTGCCCAACATTTTTTGGTCTGAAAATCACACTTTAAATTTTTCTGCTGACAAAATTATTCAAAAAGCATCTAAAGCTTTCAAAAAGGATTTTCTAGAGGCATTTCACATTCAAAAAATTCTTTCTGTTCTAGTTAACGACCCTAATTCCAATCCATCTTTGCCTTCATCCTTTAAAGAAATTATGTTTTAGTTCTGGTTTCATCAACAGATGGCACCAGTGGCTTATCTATCTTATTTTATCTAATCATTATATCTCATCTCGTTTAATTGTGCTTTTGCAGCTTAGAATAATGGTTCAGTATAAGTAGATTTTCTTCTTAAAGAAATTCATATTGATGAAAATTGACTGTTTGGCGATAAGGTCCTTTGGGCAAAATTCCTCAAAACATAAATGTTTAGCTTCACCAGTGCACATACGGAAGAGAAATAAAGAATAAAAAGCTTTACTCATCTGTTCTAATCTTCCAGAATACATTCCTCTTTCTAAAAGTATGCTTATTGTGTGATGTTATCTTGCAGGAATGTGTTACATCTGCCTTGCAAGGAGACTTCTTTTGGAATATAAAAAAGGAAAGGTGAAAGAAAAAGCTCAGTAATGTAAATCACAATAAGCTAAATATGGACCATATTTAAAAGCTGGGTAGTAATTATGCAGGAACTCTAGAAAAATTATGAAAATTGCAATTGTCATATTCGCTTGAAGATTTGGCTATAATTAGTTACACAGTACAAAGCCTGTAATCCGGACGTCCATTATCCGGAGTGATCTATAATCTGGACCTCAAAGCCGCAAACTTTACGCATGCGCATGTTGAAAGAAATGTTTAATAAAGTAAACAAATAAATGTTAAGCTTTTTTTTTTTTTTGGAAATTTGATACCCTTTAGATCATAATTGCTCTTTATTTCATAAATTATGGTTTCATATTTTTAATTGTATAATTTCTGCATGCTATCTTACCAGATTTAAATTGATGATCTATAATCCGGAATCGCCAAAGTCCGACGATCCGGACTCGTCGGGACTTCGGCGATTCCAGATTCCAGACTTTGTACTGTATCTATTTTTGCAGGGGAGAGGAAGTACATTTGGAGGTTTATTCTTATGAACTAACATTACATATGTAACTAATTGAGCAAGACCAAAAATTTCATTTGCAATGCTCAGCAGTATGCTATAGCAGGGTAGTAGTTTCCACATATTATAAATGAGGGGAAATAAATTTTTATATGCTATTCAAAAGATGCATCTTTCTCAGTCATAAACATGATTATTTTTCAAAATAAAAGGTGGGGGAACTTTATTCTAAAATAGTAAATTTATGAACATTTTTTTAATTGGCAAATGCAGGCAAGTAATGAGAAAAATCTTTAACTCTCCTGTGCTTCTTTATTATTGTTGTAAAAAATCTTTTAAAATACTTATATATTTGAATATGAACTCTTTTCATCATTTTAGTTCCATCATGTTTTGTATTTATATCATGCTTGTCATCATGTTTGCAAAGCAGCCTTCAAATCTGTTGATTTTCAACTAATGCTTTTTGCAATACATTTTCATAAATTAATGAAATGGACCATCCGCCTGTTTGAGGATCAAGCCAGGTATTTATTCTTCTTTTATAAATATTTTTCCTTTTTTACATTTAATGAAATATAGTTTATGAATATATTGTATTAACAAAAAAGTAGTTTTGGTTTGTATAATTAGGTAACATTATGTTCATTTTGATATTCTTCTTTTTAATTTTTATTTATTTTAAGATTTGGCAGCTGACGCATTTAGGTACTTATAGATACGTGTATTTTTGTTTACTACTGTTAACTTACGATCAAAATTTAACATGAGATGCAAAAATAAACATTTTTGACATATTCTGCTTTTTTATTTTCATAAAGGCAAGAAAATAGGTGAGGATCACAAAGAGGTATGTTAAGTTTATGGTGTTCATTGCATAACAGAATGTACATGTCAAAATTGGTTTAAAAAATTCATTCTGGAAATTTTTGACTTGGTTCTGGAAATTTTGAAAATGACCAGCATTTTGGCCAAGTTTCTGAAGTTAATGATGACAGAATTAAAACCATAATGGAATCAAATCATCATATAAATGTGTGTGAGAACAGTTGGAAATCACATAAGATGTCTTAGACTCCTTAAGAAGCTTGATATTTGGGTTCCACATTGTCTCTCTTCTCTGGGCCATCAGAAAAGTTTAGTTGCAATTATTTCATCCCAATGGTTAATTTCTGTAATGGACACCATTGTTAAAATATTAAATTTCATGGTATCTCATTCTTCATTGATACACAGGCAATTTAAATCTCTTTTAGAAGAAATATGTGGATCTTCCCTTATACAGTCACATTTATTGTCTTAGTCAAGGCAATATCTTTAATAAGTTTGTCATGTATGGAGCACATTAAAGTTTATGAAAAGAATCAACATTTCTCCAAATTGAAAGTTAAAGAATGGTTATGCAAATTGATGTTTCTGACTGATATAACTAAATATCTTAATGAACTAAGGTTTGCAAGCAAAGGGCTAAACAGTACTTGAACTTGATCATTGGAAAGCCTTTGCTACAAAACTAAACGTATTTTCCCATGATATTAATACCTAGCACCTACAAATATTTCTCAAATGTTAAAGCCCTTACAAATATATTGACCACTGACAAAAATGAACTTCACACCTAGTTGAAGCACCTAAGGAGGAATTTTCAAAAAACTGCAAGAACTTTTAATCTTTTTTCTTTTGAAAGTCAATATTTTCCTTCTTAGTCAAACCAAATTTAATAGACCCATTAATAATCTCACCAGATTTGTCAATTTTTGAGTGGATGGAATTTTATAATTTTGAAATGGAACTTATTGTGCTGGCACCTTCAGAATTATGGAAAGCAAAATTTACAGAATTATGAAAAAAAAAAAAAAAAAACTCTGGAAGATAACTTTAATAATAACTCGACAGCTATTTTAAATTTCTGGATGTCATTGCAGGAGAGATTTAATTGTTTGAAGAAAATTGCATTGTGGTCTGCTTTTAGTTCTACATATCTATATGAACAAATCTTTTAAAATGCAAAAAATATTTTGAGTCCACAAAAAAGTTGTTTAATGACTGAATATTCAGAATCATGTGTCAAATTGAAAGTCACAAATTATGCTCCTGATTTTGTGATAGTAATTAGAAAAGTGCAAGGACAAGGTCTGCATTAAAATATGAAATTTTTATTTACCTATATTGAAGGAATATATATTTTATTTTATAAATATGTTTAAAAGATACATAATACATATGTAAAATTTCAATTTTTTATTTATATTGAAGTAAGAGTTATATTTTATGATTCATTTTATATTAATAAATATCTTTAGATGATGCATAATTAATATATAATAAAATGCTAAATCTATATTCTTGTCCTCTATTCCCTAACTTAACATGCATTTCCTGTGAATCGAATTGTTTCAAATATTTCCTACTGTGTGGCATCTTGAATCATATTGTTAGATTGGTTTGGTGCACCACAGCTACAAGGTTGCTGATTCTTGGTCTAAAGTAACATTAAAGATCATGGTCCAAGCATAATAGATGAGCACAGATCATATTGAAAGTTAAATTGCATTAGAAAAAGATCAGGCTGTCAATTTGGGGAGATTACAAAGGTGATGTGTATTTTGAGCTGCTTCCAAGCAACCAAACAATCAACTCAGATGTTTACTGCCAACAACTTATGAAATTGGAAGAGGAAATCAAAGAAAAAGACCATACTTGGTAAATTGTAAAGGAATCATGTTCTAATATGACATTAGGAGGCCTAGCACATCTTTTGCAACATATGCGAAAACTGGAGTTTTTTGGGGAAGTGATGTCACATCCCCCATGTCCTCCACCTCCACATGCACCATTGCATTATCATTTTGAAATTTACAAAACTTCTTATAATAGTTCTTAATAGTTTTTTGCTGATAAAAACCGGAAGTTCTATGAACATGAAATCATGAGGTTACCAGATAGATAAAGGCCATTGACCAGAATGGGTTACATTTGACTGCTTAAAGATAATTTTCTGTGTAGGAAAGAAATAAGCTTTATTTCACACTTAAAAAAAAAAAAGGACTTGTCAACCCGATATTTGTTTAACATAGTAAATTCCAAGAATTTTACAGAAGTGTGTTTGAATGTTTTATACAAAATTATTATCTAAAAGTAATATTCTGAAAATTCTTTTTTGCTAATAAGAATGGGAGAAATAGGTTGTATATATTGTATTATATATGTGGAAATAAATTTTAATAATACTTAAATATTTTTCACTTAATGACCATTCCTCTAAGCAGCTGGCATTTTAACTCAGCAGCAATTTTAGGATCAAAATAGTTACATGGTATCATTTCTTCATGCATATTCTTTTGTTGTCTGTCATCTTTTTGCATTGTGTCAGTGTTCAATACAGAAATATCCACAAAATATGTGTATACTAAGTAAAATCTTACAAACTGGTATGGTAAAAAATATTACTCTCAAATTTTTTGTGCCTTTAATTAATAAGTAAACTGAGTTAACAGCCAGAATTGTGTAATTAATTCTATTGCCAAGATTTAGAAATTAATTCCATTTCACTTATATTTTAATCATTGAGTAATCAATTCTATCATCAGGATTTATAAATTAATTTCATGTGTACTTTAAATTTTAATCACTGTTGTTATTTTTGCATCAGGAAGGGGGAAAAGCATTAGGTATATATTTTATGTTTAACTCAATGTGGCTTTATAATCAAGTGTTGTTCAACACATTATTTCCTGCTGGAATATGAAAAAAATCTGTGCTAATGCTAACATTATTAATAATGCTCTTTTTTTTTTTTTTTTTTTTTTTTTTAAACAGAGCACATTGACTGTTTAGTGATATCAGATTATTTGTACTGCATCATAGATGTTTGTTTGTGTAGACATCAGGGATCAAATTTTAATTTATTTGTAGATGTTTATTTTTTACTACTAATACTTTAGGTTTCATTAATCTATTAGTTTTGCATTAACTGAATTGTTGCTTTTATTTGTCAAATATTGACAACCCAGAAAAATTATTTTTTCATATTAGAATTTATAAAGGAAGAAAATCTATGATATTTTGCCCAAGACTATAGCTAAAGGTAACAGAAAGGGATCTTTTTAAACCAAAGTTTTCAGAAGTATCAGATCAATATATAAAAACATAAAAGTTCTATTTCTTAATACAGTCAAAAGTCGTTAATTCGGACACCCATAATTCGGAATGATCTATAATCCGGACATCAAAACTAAAAACTTTCTGCGCATGCGCCGCGTTGACACATGCGCAGAGGCGTTCACGCGTGCGCGTAAGACCTTTCTACGACTGCGCATATGAGTTTGCGCAAGTGCAGAATACGTTTTCGCCGTGCGCATTTTGTATAATGGACGTATAAGCTAAATAATTATCTATTTCAGTTAATGTTGATGATTGCGTTGTTCCTTAATTTTCGAATTGCATCCGGCTTATTATTTTTTGCAGACGCAAGAGCAATTTTATAAAAGAAAGCTTGAACTTTCGATTATATCAAATAGAATTTCCGATATATATTTGCTAATATGTAAAGGATCTAAAGCGAATGTATGTTTCGAAATCCGAAATCTGTTTATCAATTTCACGCAGTTCGGCGGGGGGAATGCCTCGGCGCACAATGATTTGGAAGTTGATCTCTCATCACTATCCTTATCTTCAAGGCAGATGTTTTTATTTTATTTGGCTATAATTGCTAACTAAATGTAGTATTTCATCTTGATGCACTCCGTCTTTGATATGATTTAAAACAAGTTCCTCGTCATTATAATTCGCTTCCGATAGTCAAGAAAGTAACAGAGGTTATTGAAAAAAAATTTCGATTGACAAATTAGTCGGTGTTCTGACACAGCAATATAGGACTTGAACGGCGGAACTTTGTAACGAACAAGAATTATGTCTGTTTAATAGAATTAAGAGAAGTATTATCACATGAAACGAAGCAAAACTTAAACAAACTTACATCGAAAGAAATGTTTAATCATAAAGAAATAAATATTAAGCTTTTTCTTTTTGCAAATTTTGATACCCTTTAGATCATATTGTTCTTATTTCATAAATTCGGTTTCATATTTTTAATTTTAGAATTTCTGCATGCCATCTTACGAGATTTAAACTGATGATCCATAATCCGGAATCGCCGAAGTCCCGACGAGTCCGGATTAATGACTTTTGACTGTATAATGTGATTTAAAATTATTATTTTGATCTCTTTATGTCTGATTGGTATAAAAGTATCTTTTGAAGTCTGCATGTAAATCTGAAGTGTTTTTGTTAGTTTAGAAACTTATCCATGTGTGTTTCGAATTTTTTATTTTTTTTATTTCATGTAGTTTAAGAACTTATTTTTGTAACATTAACTAAATAAAATTGCATTTCCCCCCCCTTTTAGCATGCCTTCTCTTCTTAAAAACTGCTGCGATGCACTTGAGAGTTGTTTGGGTAATACTCCACAGCGGAGATTTCGCTCAAAATTTGTCAAACGGTTTGGCCACCCTCCTGGATTCTTTAGTGACTCTGCTGCTCAGTTATATTGTAATGTTGAAGAGTAAGTTTTCTATTAAAAATATTGTATTATTAATTACCTTGAAACAAAAAGTCTATTTATGTTTTTTATTTTATTTTTTAATTAAAATTTAAATTATAAAATAAGTATATGTCAAAGTAACAGCAGTTTATTTTGTATCCGCATTATTTTTTTTTTTTTTCCACTTCACAAAACAGTGATATGGGGGGGGGGAATAGTAGTTGTACAATTACTTAAAAAATGAAAAAATCAATTTTAATAGTTAATATGTGTTCCTGCTTTTAATATATGCTCAATGATTCTCTGTACTTTGAGTTGGGCGGGATATCAGATACATTCACAGAAGGTCAAAATCATGTATTATTCAGCTTTTCTTCTATCCCATCAGACTGGAAGAAAATAAATATCATAATGTACTGAGTCAGGTGACTCAGATGGTCAGTTTGCTGGTTCAGTAATGAAGTAGCTTCTTTAAATAAATAAAAAAAATGATATCATAAGAGATAAATAAGAAGTTGGGGATATCAAGACTGTCAAAGTCTTTGTTAACCCTTTGACGCGCGGTGGTCGCGCCCTGAAACTACCAATTTTCAAATTTTTTTCTCCTCTTCCTTCCGAAATTTTTGAGTGAAAATCAACTGATTACTGATCTTTTACCTCTAAATAACACAAAATAACTGCAGAATCATACATGGTTTAGGTCTTAGTACTTCAAATCGCATGCCTTTTAAAATTCATTTTCAGTGAGACAAAATAACTTCCTCTTATTAATATAAACAACTTTAAATTTCAAAAGTTATTCATCGCACATCATGATTTCTATCATAAACAATAAAAATAGCAATAATTAAACTGCATATATAAAAAAAAAAAAAAAACTCTCTATATGTATGGTATTTGCTTTGTGGTTTAAGGGTGCGACCACTGCACCACTAGAGCATTGTGTCACAATGCTCTAGAGCCGTGTTTCTCAATGTGGGGGCCACGCCCCACAAGGGGGCAATTCGAAAATGGACTTGTCCAGAGTTTAAGGAGACAAAGGACGTTCTAAATATGTTTCATGAAGTCAAAGGTTTTCGAAATTTCATTTTTTATTCCCCAAATTAAGGAAAAAGTGATGTATACGTAAAAAAGTTTTTAAATTGCGGTGCATTTTAAATATTTTATGAAGAATTCTCACTGTAGACGTGGACATTTAAATGCTTTTAAAGGCATTTAAATAACTGACACATTATGCTTTCCAGACGTTTCTCGGAAATTTCAGCCAACGAATTTATTTTATTTTTTACTGTAGGAATGGCAACTGGTAAATTATTTCTTTCCTTGAATGACAACAGCAGCTGCTTTCAGCTTTGTTTATATAGATCTTATATTTATTTATTTCAGCCCGTAGTGAAATGAATGGTGCAATCAAGGAAAAAACGTTCGATGGTATTCAGAGGCATATTTAAAATTTGGTTTCATACCCGTTCCATTAAACGGTCAATTTTTGTCTTTTATGCCAGTAATGCCTGACCAACGAATCAATGAAACTAGGTCGTCTTGAGGCACATTTGAAGGCGAAACATAATGCTGATATTAATTCGGATTTGAATTATTTTCACACTGTAAAGAAAATTTTTGAAAAAAGAGTAATATTAAAGTCTCTATTTACTGCTCATAATGCAACTGTTAATCGTGCTCTTGAGGCTATTTTATCAAATTTCATTACTCATCACTTAATCCGGGAAAAGCCGTACTATAGGGGAGAATTGAATCAAACCATCAACATCAGCATTTAAAACTGTTCTAGAAAAAGATGACAATGACGTTAAAGCTATGCCACTAAATAACAATACTCTTTGCAGAAGAAAGATTAAATGAGGATATTGAAATACAACTTGTTGAAAAGCTAAAAAAAAAAAAAAAAAAAAAAAATTTCGGTGCAAATGGATGAACCAACTTTGAGAGACAGTGAAGCCGTACTTGTAACTTATGTAAGATATATTTTATAAAGGGGATTTTGTCGAAGAAATGTTCTTCTGTAAATCATTAGAAAGCACCACTATCTCCAAAGATATTTATAGTAAGCTAAAAAATTACTTAGATATAAAAAATATACCAATAAAAATATAATACATTTTGTACTGCAGATGGTGCTCCTAATATGATGGTTGAAAAATAAAATAAAGCAGGGAATAAGAAAAAGGGTTGCTTAAAATTGATAAAAGATGAGAATCCAGAAAATGCTTCTTGTGCATTGTGTTATTCATAGAGAAAACCTGGTAGCAAAAAACAATTCGCCAGTTCTAAATGAAGTACTAAATTCAGTTATAAAGTGTATCAATGCTATTAAAGTTAGGGCCAAATGTGAACGTCCTTTCAAGTTATTTTAGGGAGAACAAAATGAAGACTATATGAGACTTGTACGTCACACTGAAGTAAGAAGGCTGTCAAAAGGGAACTGCTTGGAAAGATTTATGGAACTATTTGATACTCTTAATTATTTTATAAGTGACAAACCTAAATGAAAAATCCGTTAACGGATGATAACAAACAGCAATTGTGGGTTATTTAGCCATATCTTTGAAAAATTAAATATATTAAATTAAACAACTTGCAGAGCAATAAAACTTAATTTATGTCGATTCAAAAGGAAGATATTTGCTTTCATTATCTTTGTTGAATTATGTCAGACATATACTATTTACTACAAAAGTTTTGAAAAGTCTCATTGGGTATAAAAATGTGACGTGACTACCGCTATACTTGTTATTGTTGATCATCTGAAAATTTTGTCGACTGATTTAAAAGATTTTGTAACTTAAAACAAATTGATTTCCCAACTTCGATGATGCAGCCAATGCTAGTGGATTTGGTTGATATTTTAAATATGCAGAAAAAGAAGAACTTGCAGAAATGCAAAATGTCAATTAAAACTTTATTTAATATAAAAGGAGCGATGACATAGCTTTGTGAGGAAACCAGAATCAGATATCCAAACACAACAAAATTTGCAAGAGAACTATTGTTACCGCTTCCATCTTCATATTTTGCTTAATGCGAATTTAGTGCCATAAATGATTTGCTGCTAAAAAAAAAAAAAAAAAAAAAAAAAAAAAAGATTGGATATAATGAAACCGGGAGACTTGAGACTCAAGTTATCTAAATTGGAACCTGACATAAAATTTCTTTGCAGCAAGTATCAAGCGCAAGGAACTCACTTAATTTAAATAATAAAAATTACTAATACTTAAAATATAAAACTTTCACTAAAATGAGTTTTTTCTTGAATTTCAGTTCTGCATGTTTTTAAAGTTCACTTACTGTGTTTGCTCACAAAATTTCATAGTCCTTTTTACCTAAAAGCTATCATTCAAGTTTCTTTCATGAACATTTCAATTTTTAAATATTAAAAATTATGTATATGCTAGGGGAAGCTTAAAAATTTTAGAGAGGATTAGGTGGGGCATAGCAAAAAAAAGGTTGGGAAACACTGCTGTAGAGGCTAGGTAGTCGCTCCTTGAAACCACTGCTCTTCACAATGGCGTTTGCTTGCTTCTCAAATAGGAATGTTTATTTTTAACCGGATATAGATAAGGGGTTTTGAAATCACAGAGTTATTTTATTATTAAACAATACATGCACCTGCCCAGTAAAAAAGTCTTTCTTTTCCAGAGACTTTTCTCTGACCTCAACACACTTGCTCCCCAAGTTAGTATTGTTAGTATTGTGATTTTATAAATTATTTCCTGTGGTTTAAATTTAATGTAAATGTACTTTGCTGTAATTAAAAGTATAAATCGCTTAAAGTTTTATTTAAATTAAAAATATTTTCTGAATATTTTGGGACGAAATGCGAATAAAATAAGTATGAATGGGAAACTAATGATCCGCACCAAAGCCAAAAAGACCAAGCTCCTCCTCATTAACATAAAAAACCACAAATTTCATGTGCCAGATGAAAAGAAACTAAATAATGCTGGACATATACCAGTGAAATTTAGATCCAATCAGTGTACGTTTTGTAGCACGAGGAAGAAACCTCATAGATAAAGATACATGTGGCGAAACGTACAATGTGGGCATGCATGTACCAAAATGACAAAACATGCTTTGAACAGTGTCACAAAAAATATTTGTTCTTTGAAATTAAAAAAAAAAACAGCACTGAGTCTTTTTTTAATCCTTATTTTACTGAGTTTTTTAATTCATGTAGCCAAACGCCCTTATTATGTAGGTACTTTCACTGCTATAGAAAAATTACATAAATGTTTATTTTTTAATATTTTCTGATGATTTACTTTGTAAAATAATGTAAAAAATATATATATTATGCAATTCCTACATGCATTTTGTTTTAAATTCGTAAATTTCGTCATTTATTGGAAACGTGCACGGAGAAAGGTAAGTTTTTTTTCCTACTTACCTTGGTAAGTTTCAAAGTCCTAGATGCGCGGTGGTTTCACAATGCGACCACCACCCAAAGAACCAAGTGTAGAATTTTTAAATTCATATATTATTTGTCTCTAGGATCATAATATTCAATTTCTAGAGTTTTTAGTTAAAAAATTATAAAAATAATATTGCGCGCGTCAAAGGGTTAATGACCTTCTTTAATTAGTTACAAACATGATGACCAACCTTATTGTGTAGTAGCTAGGATCATATAATAATGTAGCATGTGTAGTCATGAAAATGTTCAGTGGGTATCACTTACTGTGCTTGCCCAGAATGGAAACCCAGGTGTGATGGTTCAGTTTCTTTAATTTATGTAAGAAAGAGTCACTTTAAAAACTTAGCAACACATATTGTAAATTTATTTTTGGACATTTTTTCCTGATAGAATAATAGGCCCTTGACCTCATGGTAGATCGATATACTAACATTGTCCATGTTCAGAGCTTCAGATAGTAATTTTAGTCTGCATACTAGGATTATAACATGGTGCTCTGTCATTATTTACTAGGATTATAATATGGGTGCTCTGTCATTTATTTTTTCGGTATTCATCAACTGACAGTTCTCACCTGATGTATAGTATCCTACAATCGATGCCAATAAAAGTTTAAGAAATCCGTTTTTTGGTTTTTCTTAACTGCTATGTGTGCACAGAAAACTGGTTTCTGTGCTAGTGTAAGAACTTTCTGGCATCGTTTTGCTAGTGATATAACTGGGATACCTTTTCTCCTGAAACTTTGTCTTTTAATATATTAAGTCATCAATTTTTAAAAAAATTCCTTTTCTTTTTCTTAAATTTGACCCGAGAGATTTTAAATTGTTACATTTCCCCTATTCTTCTTTAAATTTTTCCTTTTCCACTTTCTCCTCCCATGGCCTTGATTCTTAAATTTCATCACCATTTGCTATAGCATTAGCGGATTTAAGCTCATTGTTTTTGATTTTCTATCGAAGGTCCTCTAGATCTAAACTCTCAGACTGACTGAAATCATTCATTATCTCTAAGCTTTCTTCATTTCCTATTCAGTTATCTTTTTCATTAAATCTGTAAGTATCATTGGATTGATAAGTTTTTCATGTTCTTTTTCTCCTTCATTTTCTAAGGTGTTATCCTTTCTTAATAGTAATGCGTATTCGAAATACTTGCACTTTGGATATGAGCTAGTTATGGTTGATTTTAATGTTACAGTCTTAATTTTCCTATTTCAAAAGTCTTAATTTTGTATTTAAGCCTATCTGAAACTGTGTTTTTCAAACTTTCTGTGATGAAATCAAAATCATTCTCACATTCTAAACTTTCTGAAATAAGTCTTCTTATCTGCTACTATCAAATTAGGGAGAAAAGTCTGCCCTAATTCTTCTGTGACAAATATTAAATATCCCTTTCTAATTCCTTTTATCACAAACATCTTGTCTTTTCTTAATGCAGCAGAAGAAGAAATGGAAAAGTCTAATAAGTGAAATTGGTTCACCTTTTTTTATCTTGATGGCTACCTCACTTCTGGTAGCAGATATGGTTTGATTTATAGATAATGCAGTTTGATTTACTGTAATTCATGTAAAAAATGAGACATTTTATATGTTCCGTATTCAAGCTTATTTCTAAATTGTATAAAAATTTGTTAATAATTTATTCTACTTACTTCTGTTTTATTCTTTAAATAGCATTAAAAGAGTGAAATAGGTTGTGTAGATTATTTATTTAATTTATTGATTTCATACAAATCAATATGCACTAAACCTATAATCTGTAATGTGCTTGAGCAGCTGGCAGAGTTTTGTGATGTTTTTCTATGTTCACTAGGGAGAAATTTGAGCCAGAAAGTGTTTTGTTCTGCAGTAAGTGTATTGCAATACATAGTCCAAATTCTGAACGTCCAATATCTAGAATGATATAATATGTGGTCCTCCATACCACTCACAACAGTTTTTTTTTTTTTTTTTTTTGTCCCTTGCAAAGTGTGGGAAACGAGGGAAAGCAAGTGCACCAAAAAATCGATTTTTTTTTTTTTATTATTATTAATTGATATTCTGCTATATTATTTCAAACATCTGATGGCTAATCACCATTGACAGTATATTGATTGACAGTGTATTGACATTAGCTCCCATTTTATTCAGCCCTTGAGAGTTTGAGGTATTAGAATTTTTTTCCCTCCCTATCTCAAGTTCAACTCAAGACATATTTGGCTGGAGTGTGATATTACTCATACTGTTTTTCTTTCATTAACATAGTAGTGGGAAAGGGAAAAGGAATTAGATTCTAAGCAACTGACATAGCAAATTGTACACTTACCTTAACTTTTTGATTTGAAGTAGCTTGTATTCCATTTCGTCTATCATTAATCATATCATAATTACAGTTTTAGCAAATTGCAATGTCTCTGTTGTACTCTTTCTCTGAAACTTACTCTTTACCTTACATCCATCAATCAACCAACGAATATTGAAATTTTGCACACACTGAAATGCAGTTATAAAGTAGCTTTTTCAAAACCAATGTTGAAGTAAAACCATCCTAGAATTCAAGAAATATTTCGTTATAAAATCTGTGGTGTGGAGCATTGCATACTCATGAAAGAATGAGTTTGCAGATATTTTTTTTAAATGTGTAGTATAATTTATAGCCATTTGTCAGATTATTTGATGATCATGAGAGCCACAGATCTGAAGGTTTTTGGATATCAGAAGAAAAAGCTAAATTTTCTTATTAATAGAATATCAGAAAAATGGTAACTAAAGTCTTGCATGGTGATGACAATGCCTCAATCTTCAATCAGTTAACAGGGCAGCGAATATCAGTAGTGTGTTTTAGATCCAGAAAATATCACTTATTTGGCTTCAAGTCTCATTTAAACTTCACGTAATGTTGATTTGGAAAAAAATCTTTATATAAAGCACTTCTTTTCTTAACTATATATTAATAAAGAATTTTTTTGATAATTTCTACATGTCATGTTACTAGATTTAAATTGATAATCTAAAATCAGGAATTGAAGTTCTGACAATTCTGCATTTCAGACTTTGTACTGAGTAAGCTAGAAGATATTCTTGCTTCATCTATTTCGTATTAAAAACATTGAAATAAATAAAGTATATCTTTATTTCTAAAATAGTATTTCTGTCTTTCTTTTTATTTTAAACATTTTGATTAAATTAGATTTTATTTTTTAGGACATTCCTGTTGTTAAATATGACATCTCGCTTAAATTCTCCTAAAACAAGAATTGAACATTTGCACATCATTGAAGCTAATAAACATTCTTGGATGGAAATACTAACTAAAGCAGCTTTAAGCAGCATGTATGATGTACATTTAGACAAGAGTGCTTTTTCTCAGGGTATTTCATGTTTCTTTTCTATATGTAAATATATATATTTTTAAATTTCTTCTCTCACTTTTTTATATGTTATTCTGCTAAATATGTAGGTCTTTATATATACTTTGCCATAGATAAACTACAAGTAAGATGGAACAGTTAATTGTATTATTAAAAGTGAATTGAAGTTCTGTGATGAAAAGAGCAGTAATTGTAGCATACCTAGTCATCTACTGGAAAAGCAAGCTGCATATAAATGGGAAACAAAATACTTGAGGAAAGCTGTTTTTATTAGTCAAATATATAAATGTCAGTGCTTTTTATTAGCTCTTATATTCTTTTAATAGATAATTATGAAAATATGAGAATGAAGTTTGTAAGAACAGGACTTAAGTTTATTTCAAACTGGGATTTTTATTTTTCATAACAATAAAAGAATATGTGACTTAAAATGACTTCTATTTTTACTTGTAATCCTCCTTTATTCAAATGTAGTTATTTCACTATTGATTAGTCTGCAGCAATATAGGGTGAGTTTTGGGGAGCCAGAGTTGTGATCAAATTGCTTGCTGCACCACATTGTGTTCCCTGAAATATTGGCTTCTGAAGAACTTTTTTAAGGATTCAGACAAGTAAAATCCTTTTAAGTGAGGTCTGGAGGTGTGTTGTGATAATTCCCAGCTGAGCTTTTTTAAGCTGGGAGTTGTACTGATGAGAGTAAGCTGGTGTGCATTTTTTTAACATTTGTTAAATATCTGAAAATTTGGGGGGTTTTAATACCTTTTTTAATATTTTAACTTATCTGATGGTGCCAGACAAATTAACTAAAAAAAATAATATAATCAAAACAAATCTAATTCATAATATATCAAAGATCAATCGAATAAACAATCGTATAGCAGTAATGGTTTAGTACAATAGGGCACGTTGTGAAGCCCACTAGGGAAAAATCAGTAACCTAAATTCAATGAAACTCCATGTTTCTTAAAAGCCTCTCGTCTCAAACAAATGAAGGGACATGACAGACCACAGTAAATTATACACTAAATTAAACAAATGAAACATAGAATATATATCAAACACATTTATTAATTTCTAGAATATTCAAAACATATTATAACTAGGTAAACTGATCAGCCCCCTACAAATTAACCTTAAGATGTAAATTAACATATATATCATTTTAAATCTTACACTCATGTTAAGTATAGGTGTACTATTTTTTTTTTTTTTTTTTTTTTTTTTTTTTTTTTTTTTTTTTTTTTTTTTAACATTTTATAACTCACAATTTAGGTGGTTGTACCAATTTTCTAATCATTCGTTTACAGGTATATTTAAATAACTTGTCATTACTTAAATCTTCAAATCATCTCGTTTACAAGTACATTAATATAACTACTTATTATTTAATTCTTCTATTCACTTTGTTTACAGGTATATTAATATAAGTAGCATTAGTCATTACAGTTTAAATAGGAAAGACAGAAAAAAAAAATCACTCACAGGGTGAAGTTCATACATCAAACTCCTATTTTCTCGCGTGTGCCATCATCGACAGATAAATATGGAGTTTTAAAGAGTTCAACAGATAGTCTTGCTTATTTCGTTGACTGATTAATACAGAGTGTTAATAGTTCAACAGATCGTCCAACTCATTTCGTTGACCATTCGAAGAAATCCACAAAATCCAAAACATGCTGCTTGCCAGATACAGGTCAATGATACATACTACATTCAGGAACACTTCAATCAAGCTAAAACCCCAGGAAAAAACTGGTATCAGGCAGCTTTTTTTTTTAAATCAGGAACGCTAATGCTTCAACAAAATCAAGACACGGGTATCGGGATGCCGCTTTTAAATCTGGAACAGTCTTTATCAGGAACGCTTTTATAAACCAGGAAAAAACACCTTGAAAGGACCAAACTGGAAAGGCACTAGGCAGGATAAACAAGAAACCCACTGGTATCTGCATCACCCCTAGAATACCTATTTACAATTCTTGGAAAATTATAATGGAGAAACGACGATGCTATAAATTTTTGCGATGAGCTCTGGCGCCTTTTTCTTTGTTTTTTTTTTTTTTTTTTTTTTTTTTTTTTTTTTTTTTTTTTTTTTTTAAATGTAATTTCTCATCTAATCAAAGCCGGGAATCCATAGCCGTAGCCCGCTGGTACACGACACTTGCAAGAGCAAGACCCGCAAGGGGTCAAGCCCTCGCCACTTTTTTTCTTCTTACTTCTTAGCTTTAAAAATCAGAATCAGAATGAATTTTTATTAACTGAACTCTAGCCTGGTGCAAGCACCCAGGAAATCTCGGTTTCTCCGCCTCTGTAAGTTCATACGCCTACAAAAAATCATCAAATTAAATCTTACCAATCCCGGAATTTTACGTTATCTAAACTGAGAAAATGACGAATCAAATACCAGAAATCTGACAATGCAGTCCAAAAAACATCTGTACACACACCACGTGAGAAACAAAGTGGACCCCCAACTAACAAGCGGAACTAAGCTTTACCAGAATCCAATTACCTAAGCTTAGTACAACCCCCCACTGTCTTGAAGTAGACAAAATTGAAACTATAACAAAGCAAAAGGAAGACGATTTTCGTTTCTAACGCCATTAGTAAAAGGCGACAACACAACACCCTACTGCCTCCACTGTTAGTAAAAAGGCCATAAACCAATAAACCAGATGTGTTTCCTCGCAACCGTCTCTCGCCTTTGTTACAATTCCTACTCAAGAATAACGAGTTAAATAAAGCCTTAACAGCTTAAGAATACTTTTTTCCAGATTAAAATATACATGAATACAAATAAAAATATTAGAATAATAATAACTTAAAACACATATTAATAATTAAAATTTGTGACATAACACATTATCATGAGAAATTATTGATTAAACTCTATAGAATCTTTTAGATTTCTTTATAGAAACATTATAAAATACCTTTATATATTAACTTGGGGCCATTTTTTCTTCAGAGCCTGATAGCAGAACTTATTGTTGATAAAGGTGTAATGGAATAGAAAATCCATATTGATGAAGTCATTTTTAACTTAACTCAAATATTTTTCATTAAAAAATATTTTATCTTGTATTTGCTCAAAATTTACTGGGTAGCGATAAAACTGTATGACGAAATGATGCATTCATTTTTTGTTATAGGACATATTTAACCTCTTAACTGCCGCGGGCGTATATATACGCCTTGCTCAGCCGATGCGTTAACTGCCCCCCAGATGTGCAGCCGATGCGTTAACTTTGCGAATAATTTTAGGTGTAGCAGCGCAAAGCAAATGATAGCAGTTTGGAAGGACGTATATATACGCCTGGGGCAGTTAACGCATCGGCTGAGCAAGGCGTATATATATGCCCGCGGCAGTTAAGGGGTTAAATTTTTAAAAAACTACTTAGCACAATAAACTACTTAAAAAACTACTGAACACAAAAACAGTCCCCGGTTTTGAAAGGGGATAACTTTAATACTGAAAGGACTATCTTGCCCAAATTTTTAACATAGTTACATAAACTCATAAACTTTTTGGTGGTATCGATTTGAATCATAAACACTGGACGTGCGCGCCACCTGTTACGCAGGAAACATCGATGCGGTAATTCAGTTCCAACCACACGTTGTGAAGCATATCCCGTGTGGTGGAGTTGACAGCAGCACTGATGCTTTCTTGAAGATCAGAGTTGGGGGTAACAATTTCCTCCGAGACAGAAGGTCGGCCAGAATGTCCTTTTCTTTTATCACGAATGCATCCTATCTCACTAAATGTTTTATGCCACTTCAAAATGGATTTGTGTGTAGGTGGATCAACATCAAAGTTTCGTTTGAACTCACGCTGCATTTTCACAACACTGCTTGTTATTGTAAATTGTAACACATACCAACTTCGTTGCTGTGGGGTGAACGCTATTTTCGATGTCACTGCCCTCTAGCAGTCGAAGTCATGCGTAGCGATTGTGCAAAGAAAAGAAATGAAAAATATTTAAGTGAGTTGTGGATAGTACATTTATCAACATATCCAAGTAACTGTTCATTTTATGACACCTTGAAATCAGGGACTGTTTTTGTGCTAACCCTGTATTTTCTAATGTGGGCAGATTCACAATTTTCGTTCTTGGTCAAACACAGATGACTGACTTGATACTCAGTGCACATTCTGAAATTGTAAGTGTTTATGAGGGATTGTGTTCATACTTTCCAGAGAAAGGTGTTTCCTTCCATGTGGTAGAAACATATACTGTATTAATTTTCAAAAATCAGGATTGCACTTGCTGAACGTTTGGGGGACAAACTGCAATGGGCTTGGAGGCATTCAACCAAGTTTGTTTTGCAATGATGTTAGATACACTGTAAGCAATCTGAATTATTCTAATGTTGTATTGCTGTTAAATATTATCATCATACTCTGCTCTAATTCTTCTATAAATTTAGCCACTATTACGTCTTCATTCACCAGAAATTTCATTATGAATATTGTTCTCTATGTACACTCACAGGCTAGAGTGTGATCTTGTTTAATAAATAAATCATGTGGCGTCATGATGTTAATGTACTTTTCAGTAATAGCAGACCCTGCTTTCTTGTAAACGTATTAATCTCCTTGTAGTTTCTGATTTCTTGAAAATAAACATCATAAGGAATTTTACCTATTTAATTATGATTAGAACCCCAAATGTTGGTAATATTTTTGGTGAATATTTTATTTTTCATATATGCAGTCTAAGACTAAAACATTGTTAACCCATTAACCGCCAAAACTACAAAGAATGTTTCTTTTCTCATGAAAATAATAACAAATATTAAATTAAGCATTTATAACATAAATTTACATTGAAAATTTTAAAAAAATGCTCTTACCTGTGGAAAAAGCGAGTGTTGCGTTCGCGCAATGTCAGCGGAATAAGACTACGGATGTTTAGTGAGTAGGGTTGTACTCATGTGATGTTTCTTTTGAGTGGAGCGCAGGATTACTTTTTAGCTGTATAACATTTTATAAATCTACAAATCACTTTACTTGTAATTAATTTAATATTAAAATATACATTTTATTTCTTTTACAAATACAGATTATTTCATTTGAAAGATTCAAGCATGAAAAGCTTGATTACAGTCATGATGTAAAGCTGCATTACATACTTTCCATCTATAAACAGTCTGGCTGTGGTACTCTTTACAACAAAGTCTTTTGTTATCAACGGACTTTACAATAAAATGTCTACCATCTCCATGCAATGGTTTTTGAATGCTGAATTTACTAGGTCTTCCTGTTGCTGATCTGTTTCTGGCTAATTCTACACTCTCAATAGGAGTTTGCAAAAGGAATAAAGCATTCTCGCAACTGAAATCTAAAAGAGACTTTATATTTCCAGTAGTAAAAAAAGTGGTGATATTTAGTAACTTTAGATATGGTCTCTCCTCGTTTAATCTATAGGTATTGTCAAGTACAAATTCTGCTTCATATTCCTCTACTGCAAACATGATATCAATTCTCGTACAACAATGTCCTCATCAAAAAACGAATACATTTTTTCTTGAGGTAAAGAAAGATACAGTCAAAAGTCGTTAATTCGGACACCCATAATCCGGAATGATCTATAATCCGAACCTCAAAGCTACAAACTTTCTGCGCATGCGTCGTGTCGACGACGCATGCGCAGAAAGACCTTTACCGCTACGAATTTGCGTGTGCACGTGCGCAAAATACGTTTACGAATGCGCGTTTAATGTATAACGGACGGGATAAGCTAAGCTAAAATTATCTAATTATCTATTTCAGTTAATGTTGCAGATTGCGTTGTTCCTTAATCTTCGAATTGGATCCGGATTATTATTTTTTGCAGACTGTTAGAGCAATTTTATAAAAGTAAGCTTAAACTTTCGATTTTGTCAAATAGAATTTCCGATATATATTTACTAATATGTAAAGGATATACAAAGCGAAAGTATCTTTCGGAGTCCATTAAACAAAAAGTGGAATTGCTGCAAAAAAATGGATAAAGGCATATATTTTGTTAACTAAACTTTAACGCTTGTTTATCTAAACTTTGTTTATCTTTAACGCGGCGGCGGCGTGCAATGAATTCACTATCCTTATCTTAAGGGCAGATGTTTTTATTTTATTTGGCTTATAATTGCTTACTCAATGTAGTATTTCATCTCGATGTACTTCATCTTTGATATGATTTAAATCAAATGCCTCGTCATTATAATTCGCTTCCGATAACGAAGAAAGTGACAGAGGTTATTGAAAACGAAAAAATTTCAGTTGACAAATTAGTCGGTATTCTCGACACAGCAATTATAGGACGTGAACAGCAGAACTTTGTAACTGAACAAGAAATTATGTCTGTTTATAGAATTAAAGAGAATGTATTATCACATAAAAAACGAATCAACTTAAACAACTTACATTGAAAGAAATGTTTAATAAAGTAAACAAATAAATATTAAGCTTTTTTTTGTAAATTTTGATACCCTTTAGATCATAATTGTTCTTTATTTCGTAAATTACGGTTTTATATTTTTAATTTTACAATTTCTGCATGCCATTTTACCAGATTTAAACTGATGATCTATAATCCGGAAAAATCGATAATCCGGAATCGCCAAAGTCCCGACGAGTCCGGATTAACGACTTTTGACTGTATCATGTAAGCAATAATATTCCAATAAATCTTCTCATATAAGCTTCAGGTGCAATATTTTTTTTTTTTTTTTCTGAGTGTGAGCGTATATATTTGACTGTTCAACGAGAAGAGAGAGTAAATGTCTAAACCAAAAAGAAAATTGAAAATCTGTGCACTAGTTTTACCCTGTGTTTCGTCTTTTATAATTTCTATTCTCTTTCTTTATGTTCTTCCTGAGACATAACTAACAGTTCCTTTTTATCCACTTCAAGAGCTCAGTCTTCTGCTTAACTTTTTAGTATGACTATAAATGCTTTTAGAAGGCTGAAACTTACATCTTACGTGAATTTCAACTTCCAGTGGTATCATTTGGTAAAATATTATCATTATTTAAAACATTGCCATTCCTTTCTTCTCCGTCACTAGCCTCTGCAATTTCTGGGGGAACAACAACAATATCAGTTTCATTCTGGTCATTATTAACATTATCATCATCTGTTTCATCAAAAAATCTTTGAAAGGCTTCTTCTAATGTAAGATACCTTGTTCTAGGCATTTTTAAACAACCAGAACATCGAAAGGAATGAGTGAAAAAGGAGATTGACTGCCCGTTTCCTGCTGACATTGCATCAATGCAACACCTGTTTTCCCTTCCTTCCCAACACAAATATAAACATCTGACTGATGTAATGTTCTGATAAACGGTGACCTTGACTAAAAATTTATCACTCATAAAGACGGCGATTCTTTCGTTAAATATTTTCAGCAAAAATACCCGGTCGAAAATTTTGCTTAAAGTATGAGATTAATTTTTATAAACAAAATGATTGTTGAAGGCAAATATTTTTTTACAGAAATAATCTTTATAATATTCCCTACACAAAATCATCTGCTGGTATAAAATATCTTAGGTAGTTATATTTATATACGCATTTATTTTGATCGTTGCATCAACGTAACACCAGCGGCTAATGGGTTAACATAAAAGTAGCTTTATATAGTTAAACAATATTTTTACCTTGATCCAAGGCATAAAAGAAATCCATTGGTACAAATTTTTTAGCTGTTTTGAAACGAGTAGCGTTTCATTTCAGTTTTTACATGAGTCTGGTTTTTGTAAGGAATTAAATGTCTAATGTATCAATACGTATGTTTTTGTAATGTTATATAATGCACTGTATAAATTTCCTTGTGATATTTTATTTCTTCTAAAGCAATAATTTAATTTTTTTAATGCACTAGCTGTTTTTATAAAAGTACTTGACTGATTTGTAATGTATTTGGTAACGTGTCATCTAGTTATACTGTTAAAATTTTGGTAGGATATTATGTTACTATAAGTATGCACAATAGTGTTTCTTTCTGATTTATTAGTATTATAATTATATTACTTTATTTTATAGATTTATCCAATGTAAAAGACATTAAATTACAAATTTGTGATGCTGAATTGGTTGATATAGAAGAAGATGATGACATCATGGAATTATGTAAAACACCTGCAAAACGATCTAATATTTCAGATGCTGAGTTAATATCCAAAATTCAGATTCTACCATTATGGGATTATATATTTTTGCTATATGAAAGTGAAATGCTTCGTCAAGCAGGTAAAGAGATTGAAAAACATCTGACTAATAGTAATTTAACTGTGAAGACTGGTGTTTCTGAAGATGTTCTTTATAAAATTGGTTCTGATATTCTGGGCTTAAATCCATTCCATTTAACTCACTTAATAGGCCTTCAAAAGTATGAATCTAAGGTATTTATGTAGTTTAAATTTTATCTTTTTTATATTTTATACATAAGTTTAACTTTATAAAACAGCATTAATGTTTAATGTGCTTTAAAAAATAAACTGTTCAGTTAAATTAAATGTCTAATGTATCAATACGTATGTTTTTGTAATGTTATATAATGCACTGTATAAATTTCCTTGTGAGATTTTATTTCTTCTAAAACAATAATTTAATTTTAATTAAAAATATTTATAAAATGTGCTGAATATTAGAATTACTTAAGTTTGCATATTACCCTTTTCTAAAAATATTCAGTATTTTTGCTTATGATGAATAAGCATATTCATAGCATGTATTACATAAATTTTTGCTAAATATACAGCATAAAATTGGACTGTCTTTCTAGTGACATGTGTTCACATGAAGTATATTATGTATTTTAAAACTGCAATTTTCATAATGAGTATGAAAGTCTATGATGAAAATATCTGGTTGTAACAAAAGTTTTCTGCCAAAACACATTCTTAATAAAGTTAAAAAAAATATATGAAAGCAATACCTTTAACACTGATGGTAATCACCACCTAAATTTATGATTTTCTGTCAAAGTTTTGGTAGTATTTCAAAGCCTGCAGTCCAGAAACTTGGTGGCCGAAATCCAAAAACAGATCCACTCCATTTCAAATGTCCTGTGTAGAAGGGAAGATAGTATCAGTAAGATGTAGCTGCAGTTGTGAAGAAAGGTAGAAATCTGAAGGAGCGATATCAGGGTCATACAGTGGTGTGACAAAAGATTCCATTCGAGTTCATACGGAGCCCAGTCTGTGAATGCAGACACATGTGGTCTTGCGTTATCTTGATGGAACATTACCTTTTTGTGCCGGAATTCAGTTCGTCATTTTTCCTTGATAGCAGCATCAATATGGACTAGCATTTCGCTGTACATGTTACTGTCAATTATTTTACCTTTTCCCAGCTACTAGTTCTAGATAATACCATGGCAATCTCACCAGATACAAAGCATGATCTTTCTTGTCAAATTGCACTTTGAGATGCAGCCAATGGGCTCATCGGGTACATACCAACTCCCTTTCCAGCCTGCATTGTTGAAGTCAATCCACTTTTCATCACAACTGACGATCTGTTTCAGAAATTTGTCCTTGTGTTGATATTCGAGCAGATTAGCGCAGGCCTGAACACGTCTGTCCTTATCTGCTTGAGAAAGGTCATGAGGAACCCAACATGAGGAGGTATTTGGCCTGTGTTTTTGAAGTAAATCCCTAGCGATTTAACTTGTACGTCAAGTTTATGCGATGCATAGTGTGACTAATGGACTTGACCCTAATGTCAAACTCCTTAGCAAGCTCTTGGGTGATTGCATACTGATCTTCTTCCACAAGTTCTGGCAGGTGGGCCTCAGCAACATCAGTAGGCCAGCCTGAGTGCTCTGCTTCTTAAATGTCATTGTTTTTGAACTTCTGGTACCAAACCTTCACAGCGTCATATGATACAAAATTAGTACCTTAAGCTGTACACATGATTTGGTGACATTCTGTAGTTCACTTTTTGCAACAGAACTGGAAGTAAATGATGGTTCTAATCCTGGTAGCATGATAGTTCCATTTCAGACACCTTGTATTTAATGATGATACTGTTTTACAAATTTCACAACACAGTATTCTAAAGCAAAACACTTTCTTTTAAATCTTTTGTAGAATTTCTCTTTCTTTCTTTCAAATGCCAAAAATTGTTTGACAAAATATTGCAAACACACCAACACAAACTGTTTGTGCAGATGATACTAGCGGTGGCAGGAAAACTTTTGTTAAAACTTGATAGGTAGGAGGTTCAGATCAATTGTATGTTCCCCCCTTTCTTATTCTATCATTGGTTTCTGGAATTTATTTTTATACAACAGAAATGAAACTTTGTTTACTGTCTTGATGATCATTTCAAAAGTAATTGTATGTTATGGAATCATAATTAAATAATAGTGCTGATTTTCACAGAAGGTGAGAATCATCAGCTTTTAATTTCAGATGGATTGTTTTTTTTTAAATAAAAGCTCTTGAGATGTTTAATCAACATATTGTATTTAGTAATGAAATTCTGTGAAATCTTAGTTAATTTGCTAGTAAACTTCATCGATTCAGACTTTTTTTGAGGAATTCATCTGCCCATCCCCCTTGAAATTAGTGACTATTACTTAAAGTTTTAAAATCGTATGTTATTTTTTTTAAAATTAAAGTTGTTAGCTACTCTTAATTTATCTTCAGTTCTCTATGGGAGGATTTTTTTTTGGGGGGGGGTCATTTGCAACGTCATTGAATTGAAATCTGTGTTTTGTATCTTTTTACGAATATACAACATATAATACAAAACTGGATAGTAGGGAAACGATAGTGTAGCATATAGCCATATTTCGAAATTTTAAGAAGCTATAGACAAGCTGTAATTCATTTAGAAGTTTTTATGTTAAACATAACTGATACTTGATAAAAAAAATAAAAATGTCAGAACATTGATTTCTAATTTTATTTCTCTTAGTTAAAAATACTATATAAATAAATAATAAGATAAATTTAATGCCAAAATTTTTTAAATAACTAGTATTTAACAAAAATAATTTTAAAAAGCTTCTGCTAAATAATTATGATTTTTTTCAACTTTTTTTTAGTTTACGGTACCTATAAATGGCAGTGCCTTAAGCATTCAAAATACACAACTTTCTTTATTTTTGCTAGAAACTGGTTTTAAGTATATTTTGTAGTCTTATAGAAAATTATATTATTTGTAGTATGTTGTATGTATTTTTGTAAAAATGTATGTATTCTCATAAAAATATGATCTTATGTTTGACAGCGCACATATCCATTTTGTGTAATAAATTTCCTCCGTCATGCTCGAGATGGCTTTGCATCTAGTGGTCTTAAAGCCCTTAATTTCCAAGTTCCTCAAAATAAAACAGAATTAACAAAATGGGGTATGAATTATACATCAGCTAAGCAAGCTCCACTGCTGGTCTACATTTGTTCTTCTGTGCTTGGTAAAGGCAGCAATTCATCTTTCAATTGTCATGCTTCTCTTGGAAGTTATACAGACAAAATCAAGCAACTTAAAATAACTGAAAATATTTTATGGAAAAATTTTGAGAAGCTTTCTTCCACAAAATCATCATTTAGGTAAGCATGCTGTATTATATGCATTGTGTAAAACTAATAACCAAATGGTTATTCACTGCAGGGTCTTTGAATGCTGTTAGTTGAATTGATGTCTTAGCCAAATGAATGATATTAAATATTCGTCATGTTAAAAAAAAACTTCTTAAAAATTTTTGCATGTCAAAAATTAATGCAAATTTATTAAAATATGGGAATCTAATTACAGTTATATAATAAAAATATAACAAGTACATTTACTATAATTTTATGTTAAAAAACTAACCAACTCTCTCTAATATGAAATTTAAAAGTATTAGTATTGTAAACTTCAAGTTATATTTTAATATGATTATGTAATTGAATTAAAGTAAATTACAAAATTAGGTTATGCAAGGTGTGATAAAAAATGAGACTGGTCCAGTAAATCATTGTACTTACAGAATCAGTTCTCCATAACATTATCACCTTCAAAGTAGTTCCCTTAAGCATTCACACACTTCTGCATTCGGTGCTGCCAATGCTGGTTTCTGGAATGAGGTTTTTGGAAGGCCCTTCAGGAGATTTTCCGTTTTTGCTGAATCTCTTCAGCTGAGGTAAAATGTGTTCCCTTTCAGTAAGATTTAAATTTAGGAAATTAAAAAAAGTTACATGGAGCTAAATCAGGTGAATAAGCAGGATGCCCCATCACAGTAATGTTTTTGCTGGTCAGAAACTGCTTGACAGATAGGGCCATGTGAGCAGGTACATTGTCCTGGTGCGACAGCCATCCATCATCCAACTGTGGTCTTTTTTTCTTTTAATTTTTTCATGAAGTCTTTTTTTAGTACTTCAATGTAGTAGTGTTGATTAACAGTCTGACCACCAGGAACCCATTCAATCATAATGAACGTGCATCATCTTCCACACAGTGCCTTCCCCCCTGAAAACCGCTTATGCCATTCAAACACACGTGTATGAGACAAAGTTTCATCTCCATAAGCGTTAGTTAACATTTGAAATGTTTCCTCCATGGCTAATTTCTTAAGTTTCACAAGAAATTTGATGTAGATTCTGTTTGGTTTTTACAGTAGACATTTTTCCGGCAGAATGCAGTTGCACATATTCATTCAATGACACAGTACTTCCCACTGTCATAGTCAGTTAGTCGAAAATGGCTGCATGAATAGAGGAGGTGTGTGGCATGACATCACCAAAACAGTTGTTGCCGACTCCAGTCAATTTTCAAGCCTTAGTCTCTCTCTCTTCTTTTTTTTTTTTTTTTTTTTTTTTTTTTTTTTTTTTATGTGTGTGTCACACTTCTTATAATTGTACAGAAGAATTTTTTTTGAACATTGTAAATTCTATTTAAAATTATTGATTTTCAGTAAGCTATTTGTATTGCATATTAGATTTCATATCATGCAAATGTCATAATTTTCACAAGTTCAGAGTAGTTTTCAGAGGCAAGAGTTAAAAGGTTGCTTCCTGTTAAGTAAAAATTTCTTGTTTGTTCTTTTTTAATGTAACAAGATACCCCCTTTGTTCTTTGTAGAATTACAAGTAATTATACCAGATGTATCTTGTGAAGTTCCTAATTTTACATTTAGGGGTTGAACCAAATGTTAATTGCACCAATGGGAACCTTAGGAAATGCATTTATTCTATCTGCAGGTTGTTTCCCAGAATAAATTTCTTTATTTCTGTTTCAAAGTGAGTTTTAGGATTAGTTAAGATAATTTTCTTAATAGTTAAGTAAAAATGGTAGAAAGGAAACTAAATATGAAGAAATAATTTATATTTAGAAATTAATATGTAGCCTTTTAAATCTTATATGGAATAAAAAATATAAGCACATGACTAAGTAAACCAGTAAAATCTATTTAAAAACAAAGCAAAAGTGCTAAATTTCTGAAAAGAACAGTCTTCTCATTTTAGATTATCTGTTTAGAGGTTATGTGAATGATAAACCTTCAATGTGTTTTAAGGTCATTAACTGGAATTAAAATATTCATTAAGTGGAATATATGCCAGTGCAAAGTCCAAGATCTGGAATCATCAGGATTTCACCAATTTTAAAAGTTTCCAGATTTTAAATCATCAGTTTAAATTGAATGAGATGACATGTTAACATGACAGCTTTGAAGCTTATTGTTAGGTCAGACAGAAAAGTGTCAACCATCCACAAAGCAGATGCTACTGGTAGTCAGAATCAAGTGTCAAAACTTTGTAGTGGCAAAAATTTTAGAATTTAGAGGAGCATCAAACAGCAGAAGTTAGAGGTGGCAGAATTTTTAGAATTTAGGGTCAGTAAAGTATTTGCAGTTTAAGGATTTTCCAGGCAGCAGAATTTAGGACCCACAGAGATTGCATTGGGTGTCGCAAAATGCCTAATGCTAGCTCTGCCTTCTCCCAACCATTCAAAGGCCAAAGTGTGATTGATCTTAATGAAAATCAATGCAATGCTATACAGTGTTTTTATGGACACATAGTGCACCTTTCTAGCCAGCAGGTGTTTGAAAGTGACATGCAGGAATCTTTTTCTGCATGTTTATTATATGCAGTATATAATAGTGTTAATGCAGTATATAATAAAGTGCTTTTACTGTATTCTTCATTCTTAAACTTTGTAAGAAAGGGCAATTTATTATTATTTTACTAACACCAGAGGTGCTATTATTCTCAAAACTCACTTTTTGCCTGAATGACTTTTCAAATTGTTGCTGCCAAATGGTATTGTGATATATTATTAAAAAATATAAGGGAAATTTGTATACATGTATGTATGTACGTTCCTCACATAGTGGAAAACTGCAGGCAGCTAGAGCTGCCTAGTTATCTCCAGTGCACTGGACTGTTGTCATTTGGCAAACTGTAAGAAATTTATCTTTCAATATTAATCCACGAAAGCATATGCTGCCATTGCCTAAAGCATAAGATATTTAACTTTCTCTGTTACTGAGAAGCAAACCAAGTGACTAAAAAGCAATAAATGCAGCTCTTAAAAATACTTCTCTACTTTTTAATATGATTGATTAAATAAAAATGCATTTGAATCATCAGATGTCTAATTAGAAGTATTTTTATATGACATGACACTAGTTAGACTCATTAAAATCATTACATGCTTTTTCTCTTTTTATAAATCTTTTAGATGTCTGTCCAATGTAGTGTCTAGTTTCAAAAAAATATAGCAGATAATAAAAAATATATGACAACCCCTAACACTCTGTAGAGAATTCTTAAGATATGCTGTTTTTAAATATTTTGTGATTTTTCTTTTGAATTTTATGTAGCATACATGCAAAGAAAGTGATGCTTAATATTAGAGCTAAAAAAAGACAAAAATTGTGTTAGCAGGAATGAGTTGAAAAAGCAGACTACCTATAATACTCAGAGAGCATAAAAGCGTTAGCAAATCTCTGATGTGACATTCAAATCTGAATCCTTCCAGATTTTCTTTTGTTTTATTTATTTTACTATTATTTGGCAGAGATAGCTTGTAGTCCAAATTTACAGATATAAGATCATTCCAAGGTATTCAATGCCCAAATTTTGTGCTGTGTATATATGCACATGCATACGAGACCATTCTTGGATATCAGATGTCTGGATTTCGAATTTTGTATTCTGTGTGTGTATGTGTTTGTGTGCATGCATGCTTAAAGAACAGAGCAAATATTTAGGTAAAAATGTAAAACTATATAAAGAAGAAAGTAACAGAAAAATTCTGTAGGTGTAGAAATTTTCCTAACTGAATATAAGAAATAACACTTGGGTTATTGTGGCTATTTTATAATAGTGTCTGTAATAAGAGAAATGCTTTTTATGATGTGGATTAGTAGTAAAAAAAATGATAAATAAAGAGAGAATCATTTCTTTGCTACAGAAATGATTCTCTCTTTATTTATAATTTTTTTTTTTTTTTTAGTCTTAAAATTGTTGCATTATCAGCTGTCATTTAAAATTAAGTGATCCAGGGAGTAGTGTTAGGCTACTTCATACGAAATAAGTTTTATGTAATAGAGTACACATATATCATCTAACTAAAATTCTGAAAGTTTTGTGCATTTTAATGCAAAATATTTCGTATTAAATGTAAATTTTGATGCAAAAAATTTAAATTATTGGCTCTAAGTAATAAATCTAATAAGAAGAGAAACATGCAAATTTAAAATTTATAAAAAAGTTATCTCAGATTGATGTTAGATTTTGAATAAAACTCTGTTATCCACAATAGATTTTGCATAAGTCCACAATTAAACAAAAAAAGTTTTTAATGGAGTGGAACATTTGAAGTAGACTAATAAGGGTTTCTGATTTTTTAATTAATGTAGTTATTTATTAACAATCATTGTTCTTGTTTTTCTGTGTTCAGTATATTCCTACAACAAGCAAATAAATAAATTTGCATACTGTAGAAATTTCGTTAAAAATTTTTATAAAATGTACTGAATACTTTCTTTTATATAATCCAAGCATTTTCTTCTAATTTTCATTTTTCTGCCCTGTGTATAATAGTTGTATGATTTTAAATAAATTTTTAATGGAGTTTAATAGGGGTAAATTGTAAATGAAGAAAGACATTGTGATATGTTATCCTAATGTAGAAAAGTTTGTACTCAAGGAAAAATAATGCAATAATTTAAAAAACTGTTCTAGAAATTTATTCTTTCTCTTATTTTCTATGATATATGGAGTGAATAAAAATAAATGAGGCAAGATACTCAATGAAATGGAGAAATTGTAATATGATAACTGAATTCCTCATGAACAAGTAACATGAAAACAAACATAGAAAGCATAGCATTGAATTATTAAGTCGTTAAATGTAATTTCAAACATCAAAAACTATTCTTCTCTCCTAACATAGTTATACATATTTTCAATAAAATGATGTATATTCTTAGCACAACATGTTATCCAGTTGTATTTCTCTTTTCTTCTGTCCCAATACCTACAGTTAGTTTTATAAGTAGTTTACTGTAGTAGTAAATGATGAAAGTGGAATTTTGAGCTATGCAGTTTGAAATCCTTATTATTGTAGGCATATAATATAATTGAAAATATTAAATTACTGAAAAGACATTTTGAAAAATTCACAATTATCAAGATATATTGAGTTTTAACAAAAGTTTCTCACCACTGCAAATTTTATCTGTGCAAACAGTTCACATTGGCCTGTTTTTGGCAATTGAAAGAAGAAGACTTGTTTTAGAATACTATATTGTGAAATTTGTATAAAATGTTGGTATCTTTTAGAACAAGGGTCTCAAATGAAACTATCATGCTACCAGATTAAAACCATCATTTACTTCCAGTTCTGTTGCGAAAAGTCAGCTACAGAATGCCACCAAATCATGTGTATAGCTTTAAATACTAATGTTGTATCATATGACACTGTGAAGGTTTGGTACCAAAGGTTATAAAATGGGGACTATGACATTCAAGAAATAGATTCAAGAGTATTCTGGCCGGCCTACTAATGTTGATGATGCCTGCCTGCAAGAACGTGTGGAAGAAGATTAGAATGCAAACACTTGAGAGCTTGTTAAGGAGTGTTAGTGTCATGTCCATTAATCACGCTATGCAACACATAAACTTGGCGTACAAGTTCAGCTGCTGGGTACCACAAGAGCTGGCTCAAGCAGATAAGGCCAGACGTGTTCGGGCCTGCGCTAATTTGCTCAAATATCAATGCAAGGACAAAATTCTTGTGAGGAAAAGTGGATTGACTTCAACAATACAGGCTGGAAAGGGGGTTGGTCCGCACCCGATGAGCCCGTTGGCTGCATCTCGAAGTGCAGTTTGACTAACAATAAGATCATGCTTTGTATCTGGTGAAATTGCTATGGTATTATCCAGAACTAGTACCTGAAAAAAGGTAAAACCCTTGAAAGTAACGTGTAGAGCGAGATGCTAGTCCATGTTGTTCCTGCCATCAAGGAAAAATGTCGAACTAAGCTCTGGCACAAAAAGATAATGTTCCATCAAGATAATGCAAGACCACATGTGTCTGCATTCACGGACTGGGCTCTCTATGAACTCGAATAGAATCATTTTTCACACCCACTGTATGGTCCTGATATCGCTTCTTCAGACTCCTACCTTTTTTCACACCTACAGCTACATTTTGCTAGTACCATCTTCCATTCTGCACGGGACGTCTGAAATGAGGTGGATCTATTTTTGGACTCTGCCACCAAGTTTCTGGATCAAAGGCAAAAAAACTACCAAAACTTTGGCAGAAAATCATAGATTTGGGTGGTAATTACTGCTCGCACTAAAGGTACTGCTTTCATGATTTTTTTTCTAACTTTATTAAGAATGTTTTTTGGTGGAAAACTTTCATTACAACCAGATAATTAAGTGGCGTTTGGGAAGGAAAACATTGACAATAAATAAAATAAAATAAACAAACTTTAAGAACAAGATAATAAAAGTAATATAAGCTGTTGAAAAGATGTGTAGATGAATTGTAAACTCTCATGACCAACATCTGTCAAAATAAAAATAAAACTTTCATCCCTTTCTCAAAATATACAGACCTTGTTACTCTGGAAATCACATCCACCTAGGCATATCACTGAGAGGAGTTTTTTGTATATAATAAAATGCTGTTTATCTGTATCAGTTATTTGAAAGGTGTTTGCTAGTCTTTCTTAAACTATATTTAGATTTTGTATGCATTATAAAATCTTTTGATTACTTTTGGATAAAATTTGTATTTATATTTAACTTATTTTTCAGACATTGTACTGCTGCTATTATAGTGTCATGGTTTAACAGTTTAATATCTGCTTTGGCTATTATGAAAGGTGAACATCCATCAGACAGATTGTTTACCATAGAAGGATTCAACGAATTCTTACAAAGGTCTGACATTTCTTCATTATATTTTGCTGGTAAAACTAATGTTCTGCTGCTTGCCTTTGAAAGTATTTTGGAGTTAAGGGAGAAAGTTTTAAAAAGTAAGTCTTTCAGTTACCATACTTTGAGTTTCTTTCAGATTTTACATTTTAATTATACTTAATCATTCTAGAATGGCTGATACCCTCTTTTTATTTAGTATATATATATTTATTATTTAATTTAAGTAACAAAAGTTTAATTTAATAAAACATCTCAACACATTATCGTCAAATCAGCTATATTATTTTTTGCTGTAACTATAAGATTATTTTAAATTAGGCTTACTTATAGCAAATACTCAAGCACTTTTTCTCAGAAGTATATCAAAAGCCCTGTACACATGCAATGCTCTTTCGCACAGTCACCGTTTGTATTAGAGAGAAACGGGGATATGAAGCAGTTTCGCCTTCAGGACCGGTTCAGATGCACATCGTCTTTCATCCCTCACCCCGTAAGCCACTGTGAGCAATGAATGATGTCACAAACGCGGATTTCTAATGTTTGCTCACATCTTTTTTGGCATCGTTTACTATTGCTATCGAAAGCCATCGGAGTTTAACTCTTTAATCACGTATATTGCTGAACGGTTTTAAATAAAATGTTTTCTGGCTGTTAAAATTTCAAACTTTGCTTTTTGAAAAATGAATAAAACAGCAAATTAATATTATTTACATTAATTATAAACGTTTTAGAATATTTCTTGCAGCTTAAAATTATCTTGACTTACAAAACTATTCAATAATATTTTCTAAAAAGTAGATGAAAGTTCTTAAATTTAAAAAAAAAAAAAAAAGTCTTGTCGCATTGAAGACGATATGCATGTTTTTAGTTTTAATTTGAATGGCATCAGCATCAGATAACTTGTCTATACTAGTTTACAAATTTCCGTTTTTTGTACAGTTTCATCTAATTTTTTTTGGACGATATCGCATCCCCAGGTATCTATCAACGCGTTTATTTCGCTGACAGTCTAGCGAGCAGTCAGTTGTACGTCAGCCATGTTGTTTGTTAAAATTAGTGAATAGTGCAGTTGCACAGTGCAGTATGAAAAATGTCCCCATTTGTCCTGCTCCATAGAGGTTTTTAACCAAGTTCTACCTCCAATTCGGCAAGTCAGTTAATTCTTATTGGCCATGTGAATGCGACACATTGGAAGAAATAGTTTTGGCTACCAATCGAGTCTGCTCTTGTGAACAGGGCTAAAGTTAGAGGAAAGGATAATTTTAGTTTTAGTTCCATAATTAAACTTTGGTATTTCACTCATTCATTATTTATGTTATTAATGTAAAACTTCTTATGTAATGCACACACACATATATATATATATATTGATAGCTGTAATATTAGTTTCTCTTATTGTCATTTTTTCCCCTCAACATTTTGAGCTGTTTTGTTTAGATTTTACATTATTTCATCATGTATTATTCAGACAAACACAGTATGGTTTAAGAAAAGCTATACATTTTTAAATGATGTATAAAGATTGCATACACACACATACAAAATGAGAGTATACTGTGATACAAAAAATTAACATGAACAAAAAATAAGTATAAAATTATCAAAACAGAAGTTGTCGTTCCAAGTGGTAAATATCTGTCAATAAAAGTATGTGACTTATCCTTATGAATGCAAACTATGCAAGAGCAATTTATGCCAACCATGAAATGTTATGCGAGATTTTAAAAGGCAGTAAGTAATTAACTTTTCTTTTGTGACAAGACATTGTATGTCTTGAATATTATACTTTAGGATTATTGGCTACAAGTTGCAGCTCTTTTTAGAGCATCCAGTGGGTACTCAATAGGGTTAAATGTCTGGAAAATATACTGGACATAGTTATTAATACCAAGAATAAATAAATAAATAAAAATAAAGTATACCAAAGTAAAAAATATGTAAAGTTACTCAAATATACGGGACCCTGAATCTGTTTTTCTGAATCACTTGTTAATTTTGTGGTTATGTTATGTTCAGATAATTTCTTTTGAGCTAAATAATCTTGCCCTCTCCTCTGATAATTACTTTTTAATTAGATAAAGATTTAATTTAAAAGATTAAATTTATTTTAAAATTCGATTAATATTTAAGAAGATTATATAGTAAGTATTAATGCTTGTTGTAGCTTAAGTGGGATTATTAATATAGTAAATATAAAATGTATAGCGATAGAAAGACTGGTCAAATTTGTTTAAAAATTATAGTGATATGCATCAAAAAACTTTGCTTTGTTATGCTAGTTGAAAAGCTTTAGGAAGGAATTATCAAGTCCTCATTTATTGAAAAGGATTATTTGAGTTTTTTATACAACTTATCAAGTGTAATTATGCATTGAAATTTTGTTTTGTTAATTGTAATAAATCTTTTTTTAAATTAAAAATATAAATAAAAGGCTTGTGCAAAAAATGCTTCTTCTATCCTATATCTTCATTCTGAATGTTGATTGCAGTAAATATTCATTGTATTCAGGTGGTAAAAACTGTTATGCAGGCTAACCTGGAAACCTGTTAATTGAAGATTAATTTTAAATTAACCTGCAGTTCATTGTATTTTGTCGGTTATAGTAAGACAAGACTAAAGTAAAGTCCTGTGTCTTATAAATAACATTCTATGAGTTTGGGGAAGATTTAAAGATCTTACTTTTTGTATATCAGTACTACATGGTTAAAAGATTCAACTTTTATGAGAAACTATAGTTTAATTACCATTTTTCTTTTTAAATGTTAAGTTAGCATTTGCACTGGTCAAATGAACTGGAAAACTTTTCATTTCGCGTATTTGCCTTTGTTAAAAAATAATGCTGCTTTTTCTCTTGTTTAGAAAACTACTGCTGCCTAGCTGAATAGCCCTTAAACAGTTGATTTGGGACTACTTAACCAAAATTTTTATTGAACTAGTAATTATGGCTTTTTTGTAAAAGTATTTTGTATGCTTTTAGATAGAATTTGTAAATTACATTTTTTAGATAAATGAGAACAGAAAATGACTGTTACATAGTTTTACCACACCTCTGACAGTGTCTAACTTCTGTTTTGCTCTGTGCAACCATCTCGAAACATATACAAATTATTTGTTATTGTCAAACTTATTAATCAGCAAAATTAATAAATATTGAAGTTATTTCCATGGCATGTATTTTAAACTTCTAACTAAAATGTGTTGCAATGACGTATCATCAAATGGCTTTGATTATTGCCTCTTACAGTAATCTTGATTAACTATAAGGGTCTTTGATTGTTGTTGCATGTTTTCTGTGTATGGGAAGAAGGCCTTTTTCAAGTCTGCCTTTTTAAATCTGTCAAACAATAACTTTGGTTTAACATCACTGTGGAGTGAACTTTGATTATCCTTCCTGAGCTCTGCAACTGAAACTTTGAAATTGCCAATATGCTAATTTTTATGCACATGTGTCTATGTCTCATCTTTTTTTTGGGGGGGGGGCAACTTGATGTCAGTTTATTGCTTAGCCATTCCTTACACATATTGAAAAAGTCTAAAAAAAATTATAAAATTAAACCAACTTTAATTAAAGCTGTATTTTAATTAACTGATTTTAAAACATCTGTTTGCTAAATGACATTGTCTTATCTCCATGATCTATTTAAAACTCTGCGTATGATCTTTCGTGTCTTAATTAAGAAATAAGTAACAGAAAAATTGTAATTATTAGCAGAAAAATTTCTAATGTGAAATTCTTTGAATAGCTTTAGCAGTTTTTGTAACATTTAATACTAATTTTAAGGCATAGTCTCAATGTACTGAAAGAAATATTAGTATAAAAAGGAGTCTGATTTTGTACTAGAAAAGGTAGTATAACCTGAATACAGAGTCCCCATATAAATATTTTATTCCAATTGTCCTTTTTTTAACCCTCTGAAGACCAAGGTCATGACTCACCTGTTTGCTTAAAAATGTTCAAATGCCTCAAATTCTATTTGAGATCTGCAACAATTTCTTCTCTTCCCCTTCTGAACAAACAATAAAGAATGTGATATCATTTCTATTTCTTGATAAAAGAGGTGCCTTTAGCCACTGAGTGTCAAAATATTTATAATGGGAGAAGAACGGAAGTTCACATAGGCATTTTGTAAACTGGTTCGATCACTGTGCCAGCCTGCCATCACTCGGCCAACCTAGTCTGAGCTAAGCAGTGAAGCAATGATGCAGGCTGTAAGTGAAATTTGTTTATGGGAAATTTGTCTTACTTCAAAAAATTCTTTGTTTAAAATTAATTTTTTATTTATATGTTTCTTAAATCTGTTGCTCTGTAGCATATTTCAAAGATATGTTTTATAATATCAGAGCGTGTTTCATAAAATTAATTTTTGCAATGGCTCTACTCTTATATGTGCCCTAAGATCACCAAATGTGGCAATATGTGTTCTGCACTGGTTTTTGGCATGATTGCATGTTGTATGGCAACCTTTTTGACGTTGGAAACTCTTTTGCTTGAGTGATTAACTGCTCGTTGGTTCGTGTCGTGTGTGTTTTGAACTATGTTACAATGATAGATGGGGTGGCAAGATTTCAGTCGCGTATTTTAGATTGTGTGGAAAGTAAATTTAGTGTTAAAAGGTACGATGTTGGAGTTGTTAATGAGTCTTTTGGTCATAGGTGTGTTTATGAGGATCAAAGTGTGTTTTTGGAATTTCTGTGGGACTTTTAAAACGGAGTCCGAAATGCGGAGCTGCTATGAGAACTCTGACGAAGAAGGGCGTTTCTGATAGTTCTTGTGTAGATTTGAAGTCAAATGCTTGCTGGTAAAGTATGTGGCTGTCAGCAGTGTTTAAGATTTGGATTGTGGTTTTTGTGGAGTAAGTTAACTTTGGAGGAAGTTTTTATCGTTACTTTCGAAACTTTGAATTGCAGAAAGACATGTGATATAGCAAAATCGTGGCACTTTTGTTCACAGATGTTGTGTGACTGGCGAAATTTTATTAACGAATGTATTATGGTATGTGCATTTTATTTTACTGTTTTTATTTTGTAGTTATGATCATTGTTTTTTTACTATGAATTTCTGTTGTTTTTGTTGTTTTTTGAATTGTTTGTAATTTTAGTTTATTTTGTTGATTTGTGTGCAATTCGTAGGTTTTTTTTAAAGTTTAAACAGGATGCTGTGTACATGGTATTCTCTGAAATTTATTGTTGTTTTGTTAATTTATTAAAGCGAGAAGTGCGTAGTTCATAGATTTGTTCGTTGCCCGGAAACCACGTTTTTGGAGACATTTTAAGCTTAAAGTTCAAAATGTATACAAAAAATTTAGGTAGTAGTATGGCAGCGTGGAGTTTTTCGCCAGAAATGTTTGGCGACTTGAGAGTGCATATATGAGTAGTTCCTTTGCAATTATGCTGTGATTTTATATGTATAAATAGCTCAGGCATGAAAGTTTTCCGCATTTTCGCCGAATTATGCTTTTTTGAATGTCACCCAGGCTGTTTCTGAGATCGATGCAGAAAGAACCATTGAGAAATAGCAGCCAGTAAATATGGGGGGGGGGGTAAACGGAGGACATGCTCTCTCTCTTCCTCTTTTCTTTGTAAAAAAACAAAAAAACCTTGACATCATGCCAGAGATAACGAAATGCATTGTTTCACATCAAGGAGAAGTAGGTGGGGCTTATGTGGAAAAGCAGAACTAGATGCATACAAATATCAAATCAAAGAAGAGCAAGCAACCATCAAACAAGAGCTGACTTCAATAATTTCAACGATTGGTGCTGGTACCATCTGTGGACATACAGATAACCACTTGCATTCTTTAGTACACAAAACTCTATGTAAAAATTTAAGGAATGCTCATAAACTGTACAAAGAAGAGCGAGAATCTAAAAAAAAAAGCAATTAAACATTGCAGAAAGTAAAGAAGAAAATAAAAAAGTATCAATGGATTGTATAAAAGCTGCTGAAAAGAAATTGAGACTAGCTCGCAAACGGAAGTTAGAAAAGTTGGCTGTAAAAGTAGCAAAAAAGGAAAAGCTTTTTCCCTAAAAATTTTTAATCTGGATCGAGTGAGACTGAGACAAAATAGTTATTTTTTATATTCCTCCTTTAACTATATGTTATTTTGTAACTATATGATCTCACATGACTACTTTTTCTGGTGTTATATAAAGAACTGTTAACTGAACTAAAAATGAAGATAATTGAAAGCTATAGTAACAGTTATATATATATATATATTTTATCTCTAAAACTTGTCGTTGCCTCGAAATGGGCAGTAATATATAACATAAATATGTATATTAGTGTGTTGTAATGTTGCGTACAGTATTCATGTATCAACTGTTAAATTAAGTTACATAAAGAAGGTTAATTTATTAAAATCTCTTGGTGATTTACTTTTTTTTAAAAAAGTGGAAGATAAAATTAATAGCAAAATAGTAAGTACAAGTATTATTTTAGTTTAATACTTTTTATATTAAAAGGTTGATATTTTATTTATTTATTTATTTATTTATTAGGTTGCGCGTGCGCATTTAGTTTTTGTGTAATTTTGTGTCCGCGCTCTGTTCAACTTTTTTTGCCAACTTGTACTTTCATGCATGATATACAATTTTATGGTGTGAAATGGGAAATGAAAACTGTAATGAGAATTCTATGCAAAAGGAAAATTTTATTTCTTGACAAGATGAAATATAAAATGCTTATCAGGAAATAAAGTCATCTCTAATAAAAATTAGTTAAATGTTAAATGTATGTATTAAATTTATAAGCTAAGGACATTTTAATCATGCTATTAAAATAATAAAATTCTTTATTTTGTTATCTTAATAGCACAATTAAAATTTTAAAAAATTTATTTATGTACAAGAAATTTCATATTAAATATGCACAACAATTATTATATCATTACAAAAGAACAAATTAACACATGAGTATTCCTTTCTCATATAAGACTTCTTTTTTATTAAAGAAAAAATATTGAAATGATTTATTTTTTTTTTTTTTTTTTTTTTTTTAATCTGAACAACTTTTACAATTACAGCGATTTTTATTAAAGCATAACAAAAATGATTTGACAAAAGTTTCCTTTGCATTTTAGTTTAACTAATATTACAGATTACAGCTTATGGAATCTAGCACATTTATTTTATCCAATGATGCAATTATTTTGCTTATCATATGATAAGCTTTGCTTTGAAATGATTTCAGCAAGGGATATGACACAATACCTGTCATAACTTTTCAGGTTACTGGTCTAACTGTATGGCACAGCAATTGAAAACCCAGATTCCAGTTTTATATTAGAAACAGCTTTTAATAATGTTTGCATACTAGGTAAATAATAATAAAAAATTTAAAAAAAAATTAAGACTATTACATGCTTTGAAATTACTTTGATAGATTTGAATGTCTAGATTTTTGTCCTGCAAAGACTACCTCCACCCATATATTGAAACACTTGATACCTTTATTTGTGGTAATATGATGGTGAAAATCACAGGGTTAACTAATTTTTGAATTAGCTAGAGTGTCTTCTCAATTCCAGCTTTATTCAGTTTTTGTTTGCTTACATTATTTTTCACATTATATATATATATATATATATATATATATATATATATATATTTTTTTTTTTTTTTTTAATCTGAAAGTGTATGACACAGTTGCCTGATTTTGCAGACTTTGTAGTTGAATTTTTGTTTCAAATGACACTCCTTTTTGGAATATCAGTCAATTTGATTGTTTCATACTCTTGTTATGAAGATGGACTTGATTCGTCATAGTTTAATGATGCTGAAATGATGCTTGCAGTAGTTTGAGGAAGTTTGCTGCACAGCTTAACAGGCAGTTCTTTCACATTCACTTGTCTGCTGCTTCTGCTGACTTCATCAGCTGGAAGGGATAAAAATTACATACATGAGTTGTGTTTTACCTTTCTGGATCTTTGTGTATACACAGACCAAGGTAGATCATTTCCGTTTGGCATTGTTGTGCAGTCAAAGCTTTACTTCTTCTCCCATTATAAATTATTTGCTGAATTTATACTAATTTGCTTTTAACCTAAAGATAAGAAGTCATGAAAGAATCTCTTTAGGACAAGACAATCTATAATAAAGATGAACTGATACAATGTGTTAGGGAAATTGTTTTTGCGCACCTGAGCTGTTGTTTAAAGACAGAGCATGTGATCTTGGCCATTAGGTCATCTGAATAAAGGCCATTGGTCTTGAAAGAGTTAAAGTTCTGGCACAAAACTCAAAAAGCATTTATGAATATCCATTTATTAAGATTTCCTTCCTGAAATGTCTAACTCCGTACTATGCATTTTTATGAAATTTTACTTAAGTTGGTGTAGGCAAAATTTCATTATAAAAATTTTATTTTCATTAGAGATTTAAAAACCAGAAAAATGAACTTTTAAATTTTGATCAGTTGATTGAATTTCTTGCTGATTGATTCTCGAGCTATTAGCATATACTATGCTAGCTAAAAATCAGTTCTAAAGTGACTGGAAAATGAAAATTCAAATATTTTTGCAGTTTCTTGCAAATACTTAATAAGGAAGAATAAGCATTCAATAGAATAAAGGTGTGTCATAAAAATGATTTTTTTCCCAACTAACTCATTCCTGTATGACACTTGCAAATACCTGCCTAGCTTGGGAATCAGACTGTGTCAATGACAGTACATTTGCATTTATGTTAGCCAGGAACATACTTCTGGCCCTAGAGTGTTTATTTGGGGAAGGGAGCATGTTTTGTTTGACTGCACTGATTTAACATAAAAATTTGTTCTTCCTTAATTTTCTGATTTGAAGTGGTTTATTCTGTCTATTATTATTATTAAATAGTTTTAGGAAACAATAACACTTTCTATTTTCTCTTCCAAAATTATACATTCATCAGTGAGCCAATGGTATTATTGTAGAGAAGTGGGGGAATTTGATAATTGAGTTTCATTATGGAGGCTGCTACTACAGTAATATAATTCTTCCAAAATCCAGCACATAGATTTGCTTAATAAATTTATTGAAAATATTGAAAAAATTGGTTCTCATTTGATGTGTAATTATTTTTAAAGTGTTATTTTAATAAGTTTTCCATGTTAAAAAAAATTCCCACCCCTCTTGACCTTGAAAATTTCTTTAAATTGTGCTATTGTTTATGTCATTACAATAAAGAAATCTCTTGCATCATAACCTTCTGGGCGGCCAGGGTTTTTGCTAAGAAAGCACAAATTTCCCAAAATTACTATGATAATTTTTTTTTTTTTTTTTGATTTGAATGCAAAAACTCTCCTGGTATTTCATACCTTGATTTGTTTTCTTTTGATATAGTGCCTTAATTTCATTGACATATTTTAATATGCACGTATATATAAGTTCTTACAGATATCACAATAAATATTCTATATATATATACGGCCTTGCCGCTTAGAGGGTTAATCACTTTTTAAGCATAAAATATACAATTTATATTAACTATGTAGAATGAAAGATGTATAATTTTTCTTGTATTGTGCATTATCAACACTCTGCAAAGCTCCCCCTCCCTTCTGTAATTCAGTGACTAAAGCTAATCACTTAATCTTCTCAGGAAAATTTAAGCATTCTGCAGAGACTCATGTAGTTTGAATTAAAATCATTAAGAAAATAACATCATTAATTTTTTACCATTTAAATTTTTCATATTCTTATAACTTTGACTGATCGATTTTGCATTCTTTCAGATGAGCTGCAATGGCAAATTAGCAAGTGTTTCGTTCTTGTTGGTTTGCTCACTTACATGCTTCTCATACCCAGAGATGTTATTGATCCTGCTATTAAAAACGAGCAGAAAGTTATGCATCTTAGTACAAGAGTAAGATTTTAAATTTTATTGCTTACCATAAATCTTTTTATGTTCAAAACATATCTTTTGTACGTTTCAATTTGCATTTTTAATTCTATTTAAAGGATGAATCATCTGTGAAACTAGAATTATCTTTAAACAGTTATTTTTCAGTGTATGAATGTTTTGAATTTTTTAACAGAAAATTATTCATTAAAATATGCATAGTATTTACTAAAATTTTCAACTTTTATTGTATGTTCTGTATAATGTGCTCAAAGGCATATTTAAAAATTTCTCACTACAGTAGAAGTTCAGAAATCCCCAAAGCTTGAGACCAGAGGTTGTGCGGATTTCAGGACAGAAAAGATAAAGCATAATATTCGGACTAAAAGTGCAAAATAAATAAGGCATATTAGATATATTTAATTAAATTATTATTACATATATATATTGATTATATTATTCATTCTATTATATGTACACAGCATTGAGGTTTGCCGATTTCGCCTCATGCAAAGATTTCCGGTTTCGGATTCCGGTGTTAGAATCACTGTTGCTGTAAAATTTAAACAGCTTTTCTTTATTTTTCCGTATATCATACACAGTCGTGTCGCAATTCCATACCATTCTGCTATAAATCGAGGAGTAGCACCTGCCTCCATCTTTTGCAGAATTTGCAGTTTTTGTGTTACCGTCAATGCAACATGTTTACGTTTTCAACGTTGAAAGCAGTAAAATCATGAGTGCATTTCTTATCTGTCATTGTATTAAAAAGGGCTGAAATTTAAAATATTCTTAATTTATCCACAAAATATCAGGATAAAGAAAAGGCAGCACTAAACAATCTCGTGAAATAACAAAGCTCAGAAAATACAAGGTGAATCGTGAACTTGAACGAAGAGTTGAGTGAATCATCTGCTTTTTTACCTCGATGCAGAGATTAGAGGGAAAAAACTTTTATCTTAATTTTTTTAAACTTTTTTTTATGTCAATAATTTGGTATTTCCATTATGACTCATTATTATTCGGTAATTATGACGTCATTACTTGGTAAATATTTTTTCTTCGATATTTCGTACTCAATGTTGCGGTTTCCGGAACCTCTAAACTGAATGTTTATATTTTGAGAGGCAACGCGGATTTCAGGAGTCGGCAGATTCTTGGTATTTGACTGTGATTTCTTGGTATTTGAAGTGATTTTTTTGTTGTTGTTTTGTTTAACTTTTTAATATTTTATTTTTAGCTAAGAGATCTTCATAGTGAAAGGGGACTTTTCGCATTTGTAAGTCATGTTGCAAATGGTCAAACATTAGGAACAGTTCCTACACATCCATATATATCAGGATTACTGAAGACCTGTCGTGAACTTGAAAATGAATTATCAGTAGCAAAGGAAAGAGCTATATTTAGATCTCATGCAGATAAGGTAAAAGCTCATGTTTTCTTGAAGTTAAAATAAAAAAATAAATAAATAAATAAAATTTAAAAAAATTATTGACGATTAATCATTAGCCCTTTAACCCTCTGAGTGGCCAGTGTTTTCGCTAAGAAAGCACAAATTTCCCAAAACTACTATGAGAACATTTTTTTTTTTTTTTTTTTAAGTAAAAACTCTTCTGGTATTTCAGACCTGGATTTTTTTCCTTTTGATATATTGCTTTAAATTCTTTGACATGTTTTAATATGCACGTATATATATGTTCTTCTAAATATCACAAAAAATATTCTAAGCCATATATATATGGCCTTGCCGCTTAGAGGGTTAAATTAACATATTTTGCTGATATTATAAATCACTTCATTTTAAAAGCATTCTCAGTAGTTATGCATTTGGTTTAAAAAATATTTTGATTAGTCAATACTTTAATATTATTGTATTGATATTCTGATATAATAGATTTCAAATTATGTTCATGTGTAAGAAAATGTGTAAAGTTTTCAGCAGACTTTTATCAATAAAATTAAGTTTATTTTGTGAAGATTTATTTTATTTAACTAACAGTTCATTTTTAGTTCAGACAACTTTTCAGTCTTTCAGACAACCTTTCAGTCTCATTTTCGCCCATGCTTTCTTGCCAGAATGTTAACAAGCTAGTGCACATGTATTCAAATAAGGTAGAAAGAAATGGTATTTAAGAGAAGAATTGTGAAGGTGATTTTAGAGGCGTATTATGCTTGCTTGAAGGCTCAATTGCTACTAAAAGTTAGATTTCTGTTGTGCTGAGTGCTTCTAGCCATTAAACTTGTTTACGACTTCTATGAGTTAGCGCATTCCTGCTCATTATATTATCCTATGATCACCCTATGAGCCTTTAGGCTAAACTCTTTACACCCTTCTTGTGCCTTTTTGTATCAATAAGATCTGAGAATAATTCCTCATACATTATTTTAGAGCTTGTAAAAGAAAATGAGACTCTATAATTTTGTTTTGTTTTTAGTTAATCCTAAAAATTCTCCATGTATAAATAATAATATAAGAGCAGTGAAACTATATTTATTTTTAATATTTTCCACACACTTTTTGGGGGGCAGGGGACTGATTAAAATTTGCATCAATAATTTGCCAGTCATTTGTAGATGTTTAAAAACGTGTTTTGGAGAGTTATTGAATGGTATGCAGTAAACTTTATCTCTGATCAAGAGTTGCAATCTAAAAAGACCTTCAGAGGCTTCCTCCCCTTAGGTATCATAAATTATACTGATATATAGATTACATCCTAAGTACTGCTATTTAAGATATTGTAATGCAAATTAATTTAAGATATAATTACTTTGTCTAGATTACTAGTTATATTTTTCATGTATATTCCAATATTTTCTTTCGAACAATTTAATTGTAACAATTTATCTTAATAATTTTTTGTATTATTTCTTAGGCTTCCAGATTGATTTTTATATGTTCTTTTTTCTTTTTAACATTTAATCCTTTGCATGGCAGTATGTAAAAGAATTTAAATTGTGGTAAAATTTGCATGAATTGTAACTCATGGACCCCAGGAACACACAGTTGAGGCTTGAACATAATCTAGAATGAAATCCTGAATTTTGAGAGCTGGTATTTATTTTATACCACTGCAACTGTAGAGCACTTTTTTTTTCCATGCAGCTGCCAATTGTTAATTTTTACTTTTTTAATCTATTTTTGGCCCTCAGGGGCTCACTTTTGTGTGGCAATCCCAAGGTACCCTAACCCTTCAGGGGATCATCTTCTTGGTGAGACGGGTGTCACGATCCTGGAGCCCCAGTGATCTATCCTCTTTTCCGTCTCCTCTCCTCTTGGCTGGAATCTCTTTCCTTTCCCTTCTCCCTTGTAGTTTCTCTCTTCGGAGTTTGGGGCTCGTCACGAGAGACTGGAACAGACCTTGTCTCTAGTTTTTGAGTGGCGAGAAAACTGCCCACGTGTTTGCCGTGCGTGGAGACCCGTGTCGCTGGAAAGGAGGGTCCTGGTAGTTGAGGGGCGAGGTACTGTCCACGCTTCCTTGTTGTCTCTGGTCCTTCTGGTGAACTGCAAAAGATGTCTCCTTTTCTAGTAAGCAAACATATTCACTCATGCATAGGTGAGCCAAAGAACATTAAGTTTCTCCGTTCTGGAGACCTGCTTATTGATACTGTTTCGGCCACCCAATCTGCTTCACTTTTGCATCAAACCAAACTTGGACGGGTACCTATAACTGTGTCAGCGCACAAAACACTCAACTACTGTAAAGGCGTGATCTCGGAAATCGACCTTATGCTCATTTCAGAAGAAGAGTTCGTTTCCGAGTTAGCTGACCAAAAGGTTTGTGCTGCTAAGCGGATCAATGTGCGTAAGGAAGGTCAGTTAATCGACACAAAACACGTGATCCTGACCTTCAAATCGCCTGATCTGACGAAGAATATTAATGCTGGATATCTAAATTGCCCCGTAAGACCATATATTCCAAACCCCATGCGATGCTTCCAGTGCCAGCATTTTAGCCATTCCAAGATGTCCTGTCATGGGACCTTGACGTTCACTCGATGCTCGTCGGTTGGCCACGATAGTGATAATTGCGCCGCTGCAGCACTGTGTATTAATTGCAAGGGCAACCATCCAGCATTTTCCCGTTCCTGTCCAAAATGGAAATTAGAAAAGGAAGTTCAGACCATAAAAGTTTCTAGGAACATTTCATATGCCGAAGCCAGAAGACAAGTTCAAAGCACACAGCTTCATTCAAACAAGTCATATGTCAATGCTGTGAAATCCACACGCACTATAGCCACCCAAACTTCCATAAGTACACAGACTTCACCAAATAAAACCCAGCAGCCTGCAAACAAGAAAAAGGAAAATCCAACCCATGTAATACAAAATAAAGAAATAACAATCTTGAGCAAACCAAAAACTGTGCCTCCAAAAATAGTATCCAAAAATAGAAGTCGAAGCAATAGTTCTGTAGATGGTATAAATTCTGAATCTCTAGATTCAGACAGTATGGAAGTGGAAGACGGTCTAGAAGTTCCCGAACATCTGCTTCCGCGCAAAACTAAAAAGGAACACAGAAGGCTATAATAGATTGCAGTTATGTGATTAATAATTAACAAACATCAATCATAATGGCCACCCTCGTCTCATGGAACTGTCCCAGTTTCCACCGAAATTTATTTGACATCAAAGCTATGATCAATGCTTATCATCCTGTGTGCTTGGCAATACAAGAGACAAATTTGAAACCAGACCCAGCATGCAAAACTTCGGAGGTTTTCTCTCGTCAGGAAGGATAACCTTGCAGGTGAGCGTGCCAGTGGAGGGGTATGTCTCCTCACCTCACTGGACTATCCCTCAAGTTCCTTTCCTTTGACGACATCTCTCCAAGTTGTTGCTGTACAAGTAAATTTTCATATTGTAGTTTCAATTGTTTCTCTTTATTTGCCTCCTAATGAACACATTGATCAGCGGGTTTTAAATAACCTTGTGGCTCAGCTGCATAAGCCTTTTATCATAATGGGTGATTTTAATGGCCATAGTCCGCTCTGGGGTAGTAAAGTTACAAATTGCTGAGGAAGACAAATTGAGCGAATGATTGAAGACTAGTCTTCAATCACTATGCTGGACTTCAGCTGGACTATGGCTCAGTGGTTTACGGATTCGCTCGGTCATCAGTATTGTTAAAATTGGATCCTGTTCATAATCAAGCTGTGCAGATTTGTTCAGGAGCTTTCAGGACTTCTCCTGTCCAGAGCCTGTATGTTGATTCCAATGAACCATCACTTTATCTGAGGCGTGAGCAATTGTCCCTATTGCACTATTTTAATATTCTATCCCAACCTGAACATCCCAATAAGCTGTGCTTACTTGATAATGTGTGTAACACTTTATTTGAGACACGTCCATCCTGTGTTCCTATTTTTCCTTTAAGAGTTTGGCCTGTCATTGAGGAACTTTCCCTCTCTGATATGCACCCCCAAGTAGTACAGAATTTTGAAATCCCACCTTGGGAAAATTCACGGATTCAACTTCTTGATGTTTTCAAACATCATGTCAAGGCAAGCACCAACGACATCATTTATAGACAACTCTTCGCTGAGCACAGGCAGAAATATAGCAGTTATCCGATATATACAGATGGATCCAAGTCAAATGATCATGTTGGGATGGCATTTGTATTTCAAGATCACATAGAGGGCAGACGTTTGCACAACGGTTTCTCAGTCTTAACTTGTGAACTAACTGCAATCTATTATAGTCTTTTGTACATCTCAAAGCTCTGCCACAAAAGGTTCATTATTTATACAGACTCGTATAGTGCTCTTAAATCTTTGGAAGCTTTTCCCAACACTCAAAATTCTGTAATAGTGGATGTCCTAAAAATACACATAAACTTGACAAGTCGTGGATATGAAATCCTGTACTGTTGGGTTCCCGGGCATGCGGGAGTAAAGGGAAACGAGCTTACAGACATCGCGGCAAAATCTGCTGTTGAACTGTCCAGTCACCTCATCCCTTTTAGAGATATCTGCTGTGCCATCAAGGGAAAGGTCTGAAAAAAATGGCAGCAAATTTGGGACTTACAGCTTAACAACAAGTTGAGAAATGTAAAGCCTAGAATCGAGCATTGGGATTTTGCTGGAAATCATAAAGAGGAAGTTCTTTTGACTCGCCTCAGAATTGGTCACGCTAGAGTGACACATAGCTATCTTCTCAAAGCTGAAAATAAGCTTGTTTGTTTATCTGTTCGTCATATTTTAATTGTCCATGTTTTAATAGTCTTCGCGAGAAATATTTTAGTAGCTGTGACTTACCTCTCGACCTTTTAATCGGAAGAGAGGTCAATTGCATTTAATTTTATTATTTAAAAGAAACTGGCTTTTATTATCTAATGTAATTTTTTTTTGAAGAATGTGTCTTGAATATTCTTATATGCTTTTAACTTATTTTTATATGACTTCATCCTCTGGGTTTGGTACATTTGTATTCTTGTTTTTAATTATTGTATTTTAATTTCATCATTTGTAATCATCTCATCTCGTGTTTGGCGCGCTATAATCATCTTTGATTTTGCATCATAATCTCTCACTCTCACTCTCACTAATCTATTTTTGCATACTTTTGATATGTATCTATGTATACGGGTGCTTGAATATAGTTATGTAAGTCTAAAGTTAAAAATTTATAAAATTTCTGTAGAAATTTAAACTTTTAGGAATAAAATGTATGTTTTTAGGCACTTTCATGATGCCACCCAGTTGAACATACTTATGTAAAATATGTGTAAAAAGCCTTTGAAAATGGTTTAAACTCAATATTATTGTTTTATCAAAAAGTTTGAAAATATTCGAGTAAATCCTACCATTCTCTAACTGAACTAGGAAATATAACTCAGCTGAAAAATAAAAAGTGCAGAAATAAAACATTATAACTCAGCTGAGAAATTAAAGTTACATTTTTGAAAATATATTTTATGCTTTAGATAATATACAAAAAGAACATGCTTCCTGTTATGATACCAATGAATCTACCACTCGCCACACACTTTCGATTATTGGGCACCATAAGGGTCCCTTTTTTATTTTTTTATAAATATAGTTAATAATATATCAATTTGTTCCAGAAAGAAAAAGCCGTTAAATAGTTTTATTATTTGATACAACCTTATTTTTACTTTCAGCCTCCTTTTTAACTTTTCAGTAAATAAGTTAGTAATAGGTAAATTTGCTCAAGAACAGCTCTTCAAACAGAGGTAAAGTGCAAACATGCCTCAAAGCCCTTTTGGGGTGGGGGGATTGTTAGGCTTATGGGCCCTGTGGAACCAGTGGATGTGTTTCCTTCCAAAGACAAATGTTTTACGTCTAAAGCTAGCCTTAGAAATACTCCCCCCTTTCACCAACTGTAAAAACTTATTTCGAAAACCACCTACTTGTACTTACAGAAGGGAAAAATTTCTCCTGTGTTCCAAAATTAACGATTTGGTTTGGTTTATTTAATTATGGCAAAACACAGGGCTATCTGCCTAAGGGAAGGGATGCCTTCGTGAAGGACTTTCTGAGGGAAACTGACTCGTATACATGTTACACATGGGGAAAACCACGAAAACGCCCATGGAGCCAGCCCGTTCGCGGGATTTGAACCTCGAACCGAACTATCAGTGTTCAGCGACTTAACCGCTTGGCTGCTGGTGGGCTTCCTTTTGTGTGATCTTATTAAAACCCTGCTGTGGTTTGTATGATCTTATTGACAAATTAGACATCAGTCACCTCTTTGCATTCTGGGGTTTTGGAAAACATGAAATGAGGGTATCTTTCAGGGCTAACAACTGTATTTAACCCCTACAATTGTGCAAAGTTTTGGCACCAAACGACAATTTTAAAATCAATGAGTTTGTCTCGGGGTAAAGGAAGATATGGTGAAATTAAGATTTTAGCTAAACAGAGACAAATGAAAACTTGACTGGAGTAAGAAAAGCATAGGAAAAACTAAAATACTTTTATTCATTCCTAGCATAGGGTCATTAAACTCTCCATCCTCCCATAATCATTATATTTAATCATGAACAATTATGATGCAAATAAATTCTGTCACCCCACAGAGTCGAGAAGAAGATGAATGGTGCTGCCATCTATCGGTAAGGTACCCTCAGTATGGATACCGATATATTTTATATACTAGTATTAAAATCGTATAAATAATCTTCTTTTAATTAACAGTAAATATATAAGGTTCAGGATTATATTAATTTCATTACTGCAAAATATTGAGAATTCATAGGGAAGTTCTGCCATTTAGAATCAAAAGGAAACACTAGAAACTCGAGATTTCAGCTTTTGATGTAGAAATTTAGCATTTTTTAGGAGGTTAAAAAATTGGCAAACTGCCAGTATATATTAAGTATACGAGCCCTTTAAAAGGTTAATGCTATAAAATTAGTTAAATTTTACTCTCATTTATGTATTATATTTAATATTTTTGTGTTGTGTGCTTTTGCTTCTATTATTCTGTGTTTCTGTTATTGTTGTTCCTCCATATGCTTAGCTTGTCAATAGCTTAATATGAAATTTGCTGTAAAATGTTAAATATAATGCATGCATTATAGGCATTCTGCATAATAATGTTTTGATTTGTTGCTAATAAGTGTAATTATTCATTATTTTCTTATATAATTTTTCCTTCATACAGTTTGCTTTTAAAAGCCTTACATATGCATTCTAGGCATTCTGCAATATAATAGTGTTCCAAATTTGTGAATAAACAAGTACATTCATTCATTATTTTAATGTATGTAATTTTTCCCTCCATATAGAATGGTTTTAAAAGCCTTAAAGAAGAGACGGAACAGTATTTAACAAGTATTGGATCACCAGAAACCATTATACAATTGTTTGTACATTTAGAACAAGACTATGCCAATATTGCTACAGATTTTACTATAGGTATTAATTCCTTAACTCAGAGTGCTGAAAACTATGTGAAAAATCTACAGAATTTTAGTGAGACTTTTGTTAAAAAATTCATCTTGTATAAAGACATGACTGTACCTTTTGTGACTGGCATAGAACAGGTTTGTAATTTTATTGTCTGAAGTTAGTTTATTTACATAAATAGATTCATAACACAATCATTTTTATAACTTGTATATATATAAACATTGTGCTGAACTGCAAATGAAGCAAAAATAATAAGCTAAGTTTTTCCAACAGGGGTAATTGTGGCCTGGATACAGCCAGAATTTCGGATCTTTTACTTTCTCAAATCCAGAATTTTCAGATTTAGAAAATGCTCACTCATTATCTTTCTCAGATTTTTAGATAAAATATATCTTTTAGAGATCATATAAATTGAAAAACTCTTAGACTAAGATTTTCTACCTCATTTACAAATTAAACAAGTTTATAACCCATATTTATAATAGCATAACTAAAAATTACTTGGTCACTGGTGTAATTCTAGCCAGTGCTGTTTTAAAGTGTTTATACTTTATTTATCTACTATAATTTTGTATTTTAAAAGGTATTATCCAGCAATAATTTAAGTTACTATTATTTTTTATTAACCAGCTATTTTATATTTGGGATCTTTACTGTCACTTCTCCCTTCTGCTACCTTGCCAGAATGTAAATTAGACTAAGTATTTAAGCTGATATTGCTAGATTGTAAGACAAAGCATGTTTCCGTCTCTCGAGGCTACGTTACTAGATTAGCTAGCTCAGATAATATTATATTCTTTGGTTTGCATTATACTTGCTGATATTTAAATTGTTACACTGGTGAAAAGTTTGAGACAACTTTGTGTTAGATCAGTTGTGTAGCCTTTGGCTATTTGTCTTTTAAATTTGAATTTGGCTGTTACTAAGTTTCATTACCACAAGTGGTTGGCTGATCTGTCAAGTACGAACATGCATTTATGTTCCAAAATAAAAAGGTTTGTTTTAAAACCTTATTAAGACTTTGCAGTTCTTCCCAGACAGAGTGGAATATTCGCTCTGATTCTTTTAGGAGTTTGGACTTATGCTAGCAGAAAGGATCAAAGTTAACTGCAAAATAATATTCTTAATTTTAATTACAGTGTGTAATCTATGCTTGATTTCTGATTCAGGTATTGCCCTATTATATCAAGTTACCAGTCAGTCCTTTGTATCCCTTATTATAAAATCTACTAAGAAATGTACTCTCTAGAGTAAATATCTGAAAATTATTAGTTTATTCAGAAACTACTATACAGAGAGATAAACAAAAAAGACTGAAGCTAACAATAAACAAAAAAGACTGAAGCTAACAATATAAGCCTCTAATAAGGAAAAAATAAGACAAAATGCTCATGTAAATGACCAACCACAAAGTTATTTAGTTTCTAATAGTTTAAAGGAATACATAAAGGTGCTCCAGAACGAATACATATGTATCAAATTTTATTAAAAGAACTAACTAGAAATTCTACTTCAGTAAATGTTATCAAAACACATTATTATGTTATTATTGCTTCATTAGCCATTATTATTGCTCCATTATTGTGCCATAATAAATATCTGTTTTGTATTGCAGAGACATAGAAGTATAAGGTAATGATATTTCAATAACATTTTGCAAAGAAGTAGCTGGTAACTTTTATTAATCTAAGGGAAACAAAACTGAAAGCGTAAACAGTCACTATACTTCATAGATTATATCTTATAGATTTGTGAGTTTGTAGATTTACGAGATTTTAATTTGTTTCCAGTGGCTAATGAAGCAATAACTTTTTGCTTTGAAATGTTATAAAAGATTTCCTTTTGATTATCATTTTGTGTAGTGAAAATCTTTTGCATATTGAATTGTATAACATTCTTTTAAATTAAGTACGTCTTATTATGAAATATTATGAATATTAGTTTTTGTATTTTTTATTTAATGGAATATTAGTTTTTGTATTTTCTTCTGATTATAATAAAATCACTCTTTATATAGCATAATCTAATGATTCTAACATTTCTCCTTAAAAAATACAGCAATATTTACGGTAATAGTTTAAAAAAGAATGCTGTCCAATAATTAACTAAAAAGTGACTAGAAATTACTCCTATACAGAGGTATTTTATGGAAGCTGGAAAATGTTCAATAATTAGAGTAATTTTTAGTTAAGTAAAAGTTTTATTATTCAGTGGAGCATCATTTATATGTTTCTCTTTTATATGTCTTTTACATTTATACGTCATTTCATTCCTATTTATTTTAATAGTAAAATATTTTTTTTAACTTCAGTGTATAACTTCAGTGTTATGTCCCTTTTGCTTGACTTACTGCATTGGTTTTACATTTTGCAATCCCACTGTTCAAGTATTTCTTTCTGAAATAGGGGCAGGAGAAGGAAGCAATGGCATGAGACATCATAGTCTGGTACACGAGTTGAAAACCAGTTCGTGAATAGAGGGGAGGGATACTTGGAAGGAAAAATTGATATATTTTCCTTTTTTTCTTCTTCTGAACAAGACACTGTGTTAAGTAAACCGGGTGGAGCAGAATTAACTGATACAAAATGTCACAAAATTGACAGGTACTTAAAAGATAAAAATCAAATTTTAAAAGAATTTGATGAGAATATTTGTATGAAGAAAATTGATGGCAACACTAAAAACAATGTTGACGACAAAAATGAAATTTAAGAAAGAGCACAAATTTGTGGATATTCTCCTTCAAAGAAATTATGTGTTCAAGATAGAAAGTTTACTGACGTTGAAGCTATTTTGCTAATGCCGTGCATCAAATATTACAGTGAATGACCTTATGTTAATTGAGAAGTCGAAAAAAATAGCATTTCGATTGAACAAGAAGGCAGCTTTTTAACTGGATGGCAGTATAAATTAAACAGCTGCATAGAATCTCACATCGTATAATAAATGGAAAGTCAAAAGGCATTTTTCTAAGTTAGTTGAAGAGTGGTTCAAGAATATGAAAGTATTCTTTTCTTTAAACTTATGCTTATAAGAATTCTAGTTTTAAAAAATGACCAGTGTCATAGAGTTAAGCAAAGTAAAGATAGTATCGCTGTTTAACTTTCTGCAAATGCTGATGGTGAGTAAAAAATTACTTGTTTAATTGTAGGAACATGACAAAAATCAAAGTGCTTCAACCATGTTAAAACTCTGCCATTAGAATGTAAAGCAAATAAGAAAGCATGGAACTATGTACATTTTTACAGATAAGCTTAAGAAGGTAGACAAACACTATGAGGCAACAAAATTGCAAAATTTTATTTTTTATGGATTAGTGTACCATTCATTCTCAAACAACAGATTTTTTGTAAAATGTTAAAGTTGTTTTCTTCCCAGAAAATTGTATTTCTTCAATTCTGCATAACAGAATTGAAGAAATGATTGAAAAAATTTCAACAGATGAACGTTTAAAAGTAGCAAGGATGAAGAAGAAAATGAAGAATAATCTCACCTTCTGTTCAAAATGCTTGAAACCTCAGAAATTTCCCTGTGTGTAAGAATAATAGTACAAGCAATAAAGCATTTCAAGAACTGAATTCGATTCATAGAACTTTGCTGAGAATCAAAAGACATGCAAGATAAAAATTTAAATTTTTTTCATGGAAAAAAGTTAAAAATTGTCTTTAAAATATTCTTGGAAAAAAATGTGCTTATTCAAGATAAGCAAAAAAAGGGGCAACGCCCACTGCAGTTAAGGGCTTAAATAGGTTTGCCTTTGTTGCTAATTTTTTAGTAGAATAGCATGATAATAAAATTGCAGATTATCAGTAGTAGATTAGTAATATCAAATTTCAACAGATATAAAGGGAAACATAAAATTTCATTTATGCTTCTTTCTCATTTATATATTGTTTGTGAATGGGCTCTTGAGAGATGTATAAACAGTGCTCCACCGTATATAGATATCTAAAAGTGCTTACTGCATGCCAGAACTGCAGGTATTATCTTTAATAATTTTTATAATAATTAATATTGATATGGGGCCAAGAATTACCTTAGATGGCCGTTTGTACTAAACTGTCAAACCAGGTAAAAATGTATAAAATTTACATTAGCTCCAAGTAATATGAATAATAATTATTATTGGCAATATATTGCGAAGCATTATTGTTAATTATATTAAACAATGAACAAATAATTTTTTCACACATTTAAAATTTTTATAAAAAGATGAGAAAAAATTATTTTTTTTTATTCTGAAATGTATGTTAAGTTTTTGTAGTATTTCTTTTAACAGAGTTTTTTTTTTACTTGAAATATTCTTTATATAATAATTTTATATATTCTACAGGTAATATTTGGAATTAGAATGGCAATACACTGTATACAATGTAGAGATTTGAGTATTCAGTTTCCAATAAAGGTAAAATTATTTATATTCTTTTCCGTAAAACAACTGTTGTTTTAGTAATCTTATTTTATTAGTATGTCAGTTATAGTATACATTTTTATAATAAATTATTTGTTAAATATTATTTAAAATATTAACTAGCATCTTATTAATGGATAACCTTAAGGACATTACCTTAGGACATTAATGACGACAAATGGCACCAGAAATATATATTGAAATGGTGTAAGCCTTTAGTGCTGTGATTCTCTCAGAACAGTTTTAAAGTTTCTCACTGAAAATTTTGAAATCATTTTGCTTATTTTCGCTTAAAAGCTGTTTGCATACCTATAACTAGCCCCTGGTAATTTTGCCATCATATGCAATAGCATATTTTACTTCCTTCTTCTTCTGTATAGTTAAATTTAGATTTGCTACCCTGGAAAACTACATATTGCACTGTTAGGATAGTAACAATATGTGTAACACAGTTTCACAAAGATGTTTTTTTTTTTTTTTTTTTTTTTTTTTTTTTTTTTTTGTGGGGGATAATACGATTGATTTTGAATGTTATGTGCGATGTAATGTTAAATTCAACTGATAAAACATAATTTGAATGAAATAAAGCAATTTTATACTGTACTGCAAAACTGCATTGTTATTTATAGCATATCTTCTGTCTCTTTCTTAAGTTTGAAAGTTAAGGATTCTGACATTTAGCTTGAATTTTAAGAGATTGTAATGCAACAATAATATTTCACTGTAAGTATTCTTTGTAGATTCAATGAGTGATAGAATAATAAAAACATGCTTTTTGTCAAAGCACTGTAAACAAATATTGTTTTGTAATATGCTTATATATATTTGCTTATAGTCAGAATTGCTTTTGAAAAATAACATTTCTGTTGTTCAATTTCATTTTCTTATGATCTGTTCTCACTTTTTGTACATCTTATAATTTATTAACCATTTATTTTTTTTCTTTCATTTTCAAATGGCTTGATGCTGTGGTCCGATATTCTATTATATATAATTGTTTCCACAGCAAGAAATATAAGAAACAGTTTTTAGAAATAACAGCTTTATATTAATTTTTCTACAATTGGAAAAATAATTTTTTGGAGGGCAGGGACAATGATTATCATATTTTGCACACAAATTAATTTTTTAAACATGAAAACAGAGTAAAAACTATATTCAATCCTTGATCTGTAAATCCTAAAATTCTGTTATTCATTTGTTCCCACAGCTTACAGGAGTTCATAAGAAATTTAATAATAGAATGTGAAATATTATTTTGATCATTCTTGGGGGGGAAAGTATCACTATTAAGAATAAGGAGCAATTTGACTATTTATTTTGTTATTTTTAAGGTATTGGAATTGAAATAATAATAGCATAGCTGCCTACTTTCCCAGTTTATTGGGAGACACCCCCCACCCAGTTTTTTATCACATCTTTAAATTGTAAAAATTCCATTCCAACTCCTAGTGACTTTTAGCACTTTTTTGTGTGTGTGTGATTTTTGTGCGATATTTGATCTGAATTGTCTTAATTAAATTGAATTCTGAACTGTCTTAAAAAGTTATTTGATCAGAATTATACTCTAAACATTTATATAACATTTTAAGATTTAATTAGTATTTAATCACATTATATTAGTATTTAATTTTGTTTTTCATCAATATGCAGTACAACACTAAATTCATCTGCACAGTAGTTTGTATATAAATTAATAATTTTATTTTTAGCTCATAAGGGCTTTTAGTCTCAAAATGGCATTTTGCTTTGAATCAGTATAAACAGCTGTATGACTTTTCAAATTGCTGTCACCAAATATTATCATCCTATATTATATTTTAAAAAAATTAAATAATGAAGAATCTGCAGGAGTGTATGTATTTTTTTTTGCATTTTGGAAAACGGCGATACCTAGAGCCATCAAATTTTGAATAATGTAGGTTCTCCACCTGAATATGGGCACCTGGAAGCTTGAATCTTGAATTGTGCAATTGTTTTATTAGCTTTTTCATTTTTTTTGTAAAACTTTAGTGAATTTTTTGTTTAAGAAACTCAACAATTTCAAAGATGGCAGTGGCAGCAGACTGTACGGAATAAAATATTTTTATCTGCACCACACAAAACTGTCTATCGAAAATTCTAAAGATATGCTGTTTTTAAATATTTTTAGCCCAAATGCTCTTGAAACGTATATGTATGTGTAAATTGAAAAACATCCCTTTGGGCCCAATATAAAATCTGAAAGATGAATCTGAAATCTGATTAAAGAATATAATTTGCCCTTTGAGCATAATATAAAATCTGAATCTAATGTAGAATATTTCAGATTTTTTGTAGTCCTATTTAAATGTACTTTAGTAAATAAAAGCTCCTTTCTCTACTCAAGGTTTTCTCAGTGTTAAAATTAGCCAAAATTTAGAGTATCTCATTAAATTTTAATATATTTTACATCATGTTCACATTTTAAATAATTCAGTAAACTAATCATGTATTTTAAAGTGAATTTGTCAGTCTTGAGTTTATTTTTAATGGTGTCCCCGTGCTGCGCGAATACCTTCTGTAAACTCCTGGTTTTTCATATTTCAAGACTGACAGACTGACAAGTATTTGTAAGCCCAAATAAAGCTAAATGCCCATTTCTACTAGTTTGCTGTTAGTTTAGAGCTAACTTCTACCTAATTTTAAATCATTGATTTACTCAGATTATGGTATTAAATATTTATAAACAATGACAAACATGTCTATAATTGATTTTAATAATACTGACCAAGATTAGATGTAATATTATTAAAAAAATGGTGAATGTAAAAACACCATGGAAAACATTATTCATTTAAAAGGGTATAATTTTTGTATTTTTTAAATGCCACATATTTTTTTATTAAATATTATCATACGTTATGTGTCTCTTTGTTTTTAGTTCAAGTAAGAAATTAGTTTTTTAAATTTATTTTAATATTTTTTAAACAAGGTAAAATATTCATTCATTTTTTTTTAAATTTCATCATTAATGTTTAAAATTGAGTCTATTGTTCAAAAACTTTTTCCCCCCTTTGCAGGATGTAAGCATCAGTGAATTCCTTGTGCAGTTTATCAGTTTTTCTTCTTCTAATTCATCAGATCCTTTACACGTTGCATCTCTTCTTCTTGATCCTAGTAACATCAATGCTTTCAAATATCTTCTGTCTCTCTCTGATTCATCTGTTGTGAATAGTGGAAGACTTCTGTATAAACTTTTGAAATCTGCCATTCTTGAGGTCATAAATGAAGCAAAGCTGCGTTCTGATCTTAAAAGAAACCATTTTAAGGATAGGTTATTGACATTACTTTTAACTGGTTTGAACTTCTTGTGGAATATGTGGAAGACCCAGGAAGATAAAGCCAAAATTAAAAAAAAAGAGGAAGAAGCACTGTATGTGTATAAAACTCGTTACCATGAAAGAGAGTTAACTGAAGAAGAGGTTATGGATAAAAATGTGTTGAATATGTTTCCATCATATGAAAAGGTAAGTCTTAATTAAAAAATGATAGTTTAATTTTTAATACATTACATTCTCTTAGACATGGCTATTATCAGTTATGAGCTTGTGAGCCTTCTATTTGTTATATTTAAAAATCTGTCTAAATTTTCCAAAGTATTGAAGGAGAATTTAAATCTGGAATTATATTATTTCCTAATAAGAGGCATCATCATATTCCATTTGTATGTAATAAACTTTTATTTTATGCTTTGATTTGTATTTTTGATGCAGTACAAAGTCTGTAATCTGAACTCATTGGGACTTCGGCGATATCGGATTAAGGGTTATTCAGGATTATAGATCATCAATTTAAATCTGGTAAGATAGCATGCAGAAATTGTACAATTAAAAATATGAAACCATAATTTTAAAAAGAGCAATTATGATCTAAAGTATCAAATTTCAAAAAAAAAGCTTAATATTTATTTGTTTACTTTATTAATCATTTCTTTCAATGTAAGTTGTTTAAGTTGCTTCGTTTTTTGTGCTAAACGCGCATGCATAAAGCATACAAAAAAAGTTTGTGGCTTTGAGGTCCTGAATACAGATTTCGTACTGTGCACATGTATTCTGTAAATATTAAAAAAATGTGTTCATTATAAAGGTATTTGAGAATAAGAGCTTTTACAGTTATGAACGAAGTTAAAGTTGCAATTTTTATTCTCAATTTTATTTTATTCTTTAATAGGATTTTACAGAATTTATCAAACCTGATCCCAAACGTAAAAAAACACGCAAGCTTGTTTCTGTTGCTGGAAGTGCAGATCCTTCACTTTTTACACATGATGATATGTTTGAAGTCTGGAAACTCCATGCAATTGCTATGGGTAGGCTTTTTCCATCAGAATATGAAAATGCTCATGAAAATATTAAATTCATTATGAAAGATAATGAGGACCCTGATTACATTACTTCCTACCTTCTAAGACAAGAAGTTGTAAATAGTATTGTGACTGCAGTGGGAGACAGACTTGATTTGTCAGTAGAAACAGAATCAGTATCGGGATTGATACTCATGTGCCATACATTACAAAAGATCAAAGAAACTGATAAAAACCGTTATTATGATATTTATCATGATCCTAATCCATCTAAAGTGATTAATTTTCGTTCAGTCCTTGAAAATTTATCAGTTAGTGTGGAAAATTTGTTGAAGAAATTTCCTGAAAATCCTGTTTTAGTTCAGGTAAGTGTAAATATTTTTTTACTAATTTGTATACTAATTGCTGTTTCAAAAGGAATGTGTTCTATTTCTTCTAAGTGAGTGCTGAAATGCTTTCAAGTTGCTTTTATTTTCTTTGAAAATAATAATTAATAAATTAGTAATCAATAAAAATAGCTAGCATATTATTGACTTTACATGTTTTAAATTGTATTTGTTGTGCTTTTAATTTTCTAAAGGAAATTAATTACTGCATTACTCATATTTTTTTAATAAAATTCCATATTGTACTATAATGTCATATATAAAATAATTTTTTTCCTATAACTTGCTTTTTAAATTTACAATATTGAAAATAATAAACACAATCAAATTAAAATATCAGCGATATTTTTGTCAAAGAACAAAGTGTCACAGGGAAGCACTTAAAAGCTTTAATATTAGGCCTTTATCCATATTATTATAACATAATTTTCTTCTTTAAGACTAAATTAGTTGTCTTTACATTAACTGTAAAATGTGATCAAGTAAACTTTCTGTTAAAAAAACTGGTGGTAGTGGATTTTCTGATGCAAAACTTTGAATGTTATGTGCACCGAACCCATGTCAGATACTTTCAAATGCATACTAAGTAGAAGCATAAATTCTTGAAAACAAACACACAAGCTTACAACCACAAGACAATTACATAAATTCAAAAGAGCTGATAAAATGATGAATGCTAAAAGCAATCACTTAAAACTCAGATAATGATCTCGGATGTAAATCAAGACTAAAATCAACAAACATGAGATTTACAGAGTTGCCAACTCTCCCGATTTAGGCAGGAGACTCCCGATTTTCGACAGCTCTCCCACCAACCCGATTTATAATATATTTCTCGTGACTTTTTCTTATTCTTAATATTTCTCACGATTTTTATGGA